CCAAGTCTACAGATATACAGTTAGTAACAGAGTCTAAAATGCGAGTATATACATAGATGGGGGGGGAAGCTGTCCATTGAACGACAGGTTGAGATTTGTACCATTACCGGGGCCAGTTTTTGCAATGCTCTCCCCCGAAGGTGCTCTTTAAGAGAGGTTTTGAAGGTAAGTATAGTTTTACTTTCCTTTACAGTTGTGGGAAGAGCGTTCCACCTTGATGTGGCATAATTGCGAAACGTGTATTCCCCCTTTTTTGTGCCAAATCTGGGTTTCACATGATTTGTGGAGCTCCCTCTGGTGTTACGATCATGGTATTCCTTGACCTTTGGGAAGAATTTTGACATGTACATGGGTACCATAGAGGTGTAGTGGATCTTGTAGACCAGGCCCATTGCAAGTAGCTGTACTCTGTCGTCTACTCTAAGCCATCCTAGGTTGTCAAAGTGGGCAGAGGTGAGGTGGGTTCTAGATGAAAGGTCAAGCAGTAGTCTGACCAGTTTATTTTGCGATGTTTGAAGTTTTATTTTTAGCGCCTTGGAGGTGCTATGGTACCATGACGTGCAAGCATAGTCATAGTACCCTTGAATGAGTGCTCCTGCCAGTCTTCAGGGTGTTTTTGTTTACCAGAGAGGAGATCCGGTATAGGAATCTAGTTCTTTGATTGACTTTTTTTATTACATTGGATGCCATTTTGTCACAGGAGAGGTTTGCCTCAAGAATAGATCCTAGGTATGTAATTTCCTTCTTACTTGTGACAATAATGTCGCCCACTGCAACTGAGAAGTCGTCGGATTTGCTGAGATTATGTTTCGAACCGAAGAGAATGGACTCTGTTTTACCCAGGTGTAATGATAATTTATTATCGGCGAGCCAGGTGCAGATTCTGCCGAGCTCGGAGCTGAGGGTTTTTTCAACCTGCAATCTGCTCCTGTCAGAGACCAGCAGGGCTGAGTCGTCCGCGAACAGGAACACGTTGCAGTCACATGCTGATGACATGTCATTTACATACATTAGGAACAGTAACGGACCTAATATGCTTCCTTGTGGAACACCACAGCTCACTGGGAGGGGGGGGGACAGAGTACCGTTTACCTCCACCATCTGTTCTCTCCCCTCCAGGTAGGACCGCATCCAGCTCACCGATAGTTTATCAAAACCAATGGCTTTTAGCTTGTCAATCAGAATGGGGTGATTGACAGTGTCGAAAGCCTTTTGTAGGTCCAGCATCACCATGCCGCAGTACTTGCCCTCGTCCACCTCTTGTTTGATGTGGTCGCTCAAATAAAGAAGGCATGTGTCAGTGGAGTGGGATGTTCTAAAGCCAGATTGAAATTCATAGATTAGTTTATTTTCCGCGAGGTACTTTTCGACCTGTTCATATACTATTTTTTCCATGACTTTCGAGATGGAGGTAAGAATAGAAACAGGGCGGTTGTTGCCTGGGTCCAATTTGCTGCCCTTTTGTGCAGGGGGGTTACTCTTGCAATTTTGAAGTCTTTGGGTACTTTTCCCTGTTTTATGGAGAGGTTAATTATGTGAGCTATGACTGGTGAGATGGCGGTTGCTGAGTCTCTGAGGAATTTGGAGGGGATATTGTCGTGGCCAGTGGCCTTGTTAGGTTCGAGGGCGCTCAGTTTAATGAGTACCTCTGCTGTTGTTACCCTTGCTAGACTGAAATCATCTTTGCGTACCCCTAGGTTTTTGTAGTAGGTCATGATGTGATCTACTCCAAAAAGCCCTGAGTGGGAGGGTAATTTATTTACAAGAGTTGTGGCTATGTTTGTGAAAAGAATGTTCAAGTACTTGGCCACATCCAGTTTGTCTGTGATGAGCCTGTTATCTGTCTTTATGTTTAAGTTAGAAAATCTCGTTTTGAGTTTTTTACTGCAGCCAAGCTGGTTATTGAGTAATTTCCAAAGTTCACGGGGTTTATTTTTGTTTTCCTCAGTTTTGACATTGATGAAATTCTTTTTGGCAGTTTTGATCATGGAGCTTACGTCATTTCTTAGTCTGTTTCTTTCAATTTTGAGTTCAGTCACGTGGGCCTGGAGTTCACTGCTCGTGCTTTTGGAAAGCATTGACTGACTTTTATGAAACTCAGAGCATTTTTTGTCTCTGGTTTTCATGGCGGTCAGTATGCCGGAGTGCATCCACGGCTCAGCGCGATGTGTTACCCTGGTTGTTCTTAGGGGGGGCCAACTCATTGAGTATTGCAGAGAATTTGTTTTTGAAACCAAGCCATGTTTCTTCAACTTGTGTACCACTGAGCTCATCTGACCAGTCCAGGCTCTCCAGTTCTAGGTTAAAGGCCTCGCTGGAGTAGTGTTTGAGGTCTCTAGATATGACTGTTTTGTGACAGCCGGCCCTTTGTTTTAGCTTTTTGCGGGTACAGAATATCATATAATGATCACTTAAACCGCATGCTATAACCCCTTTACTGGAGATCCTGGACTTGTCAGAGGTCAGAATGAGATCAATGGTAGTTTGTGTTGTTTCACATACCCGGGTGGGTTGGGTGATTAGCTGGCTGAAGCTGTGCAGATCACAAATCCTACTGAAGGACTTGAAGACGGACGTGTCTTTACGTTGCATATCCGTGTTCCAGTCACCAATAATAATTGTCTCTACATCCCCCACATCAGCCAAACACCCATCTGATGTATCATAAAAGTCACTCTGTTCCGGTGGTCTATAGATTGTCCCGACTATTACAGATTTAGCATTGTCAAAAAGAATTTCAACCCACACAGATTCAATATTTTCATGATGCAGGTCAGTACGGTTTTTGAAATTGGTGTCTTTATGTATGTACATGCAGACACCACCTCCATTCACGTTCCTGTCCCTTCTCACTACAAGATAATCTTCCATTTCAATCTCTGAATCTGTAATGGAATTGTCCAATTTGGTCTCAGAAAAGCATAATATGCTTGCCTTACCGTTCATGAATAGCTGCCTGAGTTCAGCCAGTTTGTGTCTCAGGCTGTTAGTTTTCAGATTAAAAATATGTAGTCCATTTTTGTTGCTTAAATGCACAATGTCGTCAGCTTGCAGATATTTGTCTTTGTCCGTTACAGCAACCGGCTTGCCGTGGTGGGGTGGTGTGGGGAGGGAGGCTCCGTTGTAGCTTTAGCCGTTGATATGCTAGCAGGGTGGCTAACAACATGGCGGATATTTGTTCCCTCGGATCTCGGTTCTCTTCCTCTCGTCACTGCCTCTGCTAACCCAACTCTAAACATTCATTAACGTTAGCTTAATAAAAACACCAGTAACATAACATAAAGTACGCAGGGTTGACTTACCGAAGAAACTGCATTCATGGATGGTCTGTTTCAACCGCAGATAAATCCTATATTTGCACGACGAATAGTCCACCAGGAACCAACACTACAAACACGTTCTGAGTTCAAGTAGTGTTCTCCTCGCTGTAGCATCACGGAGCTAACGGAGCTAGCAGAGAGGAGCTAGGAGCAGCAGTCCCGTTGTCATGAAGGGGGAATCTAACTATATACAGAATATGTTTTTGTGGATCCAGGCTAGAAACATGTTCATTTTCTGATGTTAAGTTGGACATTTTAACATAGGGTCTACGGGAATTGCTCCCATCTGCATCCATCGCCTACAGTTTGCAGCATTGGGCTTCACCGCACTGTCGGTTTGATTGCATTCGGACTCGATTGCTTATCCTGTCTGAGTAGCCCGGATGATGCTGCATCGCAATTTTTGACATCGAATTTTATACACATCGAATTTTAAACACCGACATATTTGACGTCGAATTTTTTTCACTTGAATTTTTACATTTTTATTTCACATAGGTAAATTCGGAGCAAAACAATTCAGATACATGATTTTCAAAGTAATTATTTTCAATGCTATAAATTCGGTGTCTGATAAAATTCAAATACTTCTGTCTCTTGTTTGCTTCCATACCTGGGACTTCATTTTTTTCATTGCATGACAATAAAGCCTTGAATCCTGATCCTTTAAATTAAATGAACTGAGGAGAAAAAAATAGATCGAACTCTCCATAATATGTTAAAATTGAAGACGTGTGATGAGGGTTAACGAGAATATTTGGGTTCATTTTAAAGGGGACCTATTATGCAGGATTGAAACAGAGGGGATTATGGGATGCTCCGATGCTGCAATTATCTAGTTGGTGTTTCAGCCAATCAGAGACAGGTTCTGGATATATGTGAGACCTGTGATATATTGATAAAAAACAGTATAATAGGGTGTAAGGGAAACTTCTGTGTAGCAACGCAGTGGGAGTCACCGACTCAGGAAGGAGACACGGTAGGAGCAGTAGCTTTGATGTCAAACACTGATGGTTTATTTGGAGTTACGGCCGGAGGATTCACATCACAAGTCCAAGAGCCAGATGTTCTGACTTCACGGTAGAGTTGCCACGTCAATTCTGGAGAGCCTCTCTCTTGCTAGCCCATTTAACTGATTCCACAGAGAGTCATCAACATGTTTTGATAAGATAGCTTTAGATAGTTTGGGCACACTAAGTTACCAGCTTCCGCCACTTATGGCCTTGGATATGTCATGCCCTGGAGTCCTCAGACAACAGAGAAGGAAGTGTCCCAGTGTACCCACAATACAGACCATCTGTGACCCAGTATTGACCGGTCACAGAATGGGAACAATAACATTATTGGCTGAAGCAGCCTGTGTCCTTAAAGGAGGTAAACAGACGTCAAGGTTTGTCCTGTATGTCACATCTTGGCGTCTATGATAATTATTTCCCTAACATAGGGGACCTTTAAAGTTTGAAAGGTTATGAATCAGTTCTGTAGAGCAGTGAATCTCAAATGGGGGTACATGGTCCTCTAGTGGTACCTTTGGGGTACTGCAGGGTGTAAATGAGGTTTAGTGATGCAAACTACTAAAAGTGTACCTTACTAAAATGATGCAGCTATATTCATGCCCTGAGGTTATTGCACAGTTGATTAAAGAAAGTGTTTTATTGATTGATCTGACACATCACTATATTGTAATTATTCATATAGGTTTTTATTTTTGATATCAAAAAGGTGTGGGGAACTTGGCAGAGACAGTATTTAAAATGGAGAGGTTGCTGAAAAGGATCAGGTTTAGTTTTGAAGGGTAAAAAACACAATTAAATCTGTCTTAGACATTATGACATATTTTAGACGGACCTTGAACATTCATTTATTGTCATTGGTATAAAAGGCGAATCCCTTTCCTGTTGAACAGTGGAATAAGTTGTAATAACACACTTGATAGATAAGGTTATTGATGTCACACAAATCACACTGTTGTTGTAAACACACAGAGAACAACATATATTATATAAGAAAGAGCCAATAACATCACCCAAGGATATAAGATAGTGTTTCAAAGCAAAGACAATGGTTTATGATTTCACTCTGAAGTGTGTATAAAAGTTAGTGTGGAAAACAAATGGGTTTTATTACATTTAGTGGTGTTAGGTATTCCCAAAAGGCTGCTGAGCACATTATTAAACCACATGCACAAACCACTTAGAGACAGTTTTCTGAGCTGATTCCAGTGTGAAACTAGCAGCTTTTGCTCGTATCAAAAAGAAAATACCAACGTTCCCACGCTGAAGGAGATTAAAGTGATATATGGGAAATGAAATGATACCGTGAAGTCAGTCAAGCTGGAGGAATGTTAGCATGAGATACCCTGGGGTTCTTTTAGCACACGCAGAATAATAAGGACATTACTTGAACACATGTGATCACAAAAAACAAACGTAATAATTAGTGTAAAAGACATTAGTGTGCGTGAATACATTGTGCATACAGGAATATGATTTGTTCTACCTTTAGATACAGAAAGAAAATGATTATAAAAACGGCTTCGATCATTTCACAACTTTAACATCAACGCTGTACGGTTTTCTTTTAATGAGATGAAACGCGGATGATTAACGACGCACAACATTTGATCAAAGAGACTAAGATTGCTCCCAAATAACTCGTATCAAGCGAATACCTCCAGAGTGGGAACGAGTTAAAGATGTGATGCTTTGTTTATTTTAAAACAGATGTGTTTCGAGACATGTGGAAGTTATGTTAGAAAATGTCCTGAAAAAACGCCTCATTTCAGCCGCTTTTGGTTCAAAAACCAGAGCAAGAGAACTGTATTATAGTAAATATTAGGAATATCTGGATAAACTGTTCCCTGTTGCTACCCTTAGTTAGGGTTTTATACAGAAACCTTTTGAAAATAATGAAGATTTTACTAAAACAATGTGGAAAAAGTTATTTAGATTTCATTTTTTCGTGCCCCTGATAATCTGGGTTTTTAAGGTTGCTCCTCATTTCAGACGGAGATGTTTAAAAAGTGAAGTAGGTAAGATGATAATTAGTGTGTGTGGACATAAAGAGCCCCGTCCTGTTGTCCAACGACTGTCCTCTGCAGACACTTGAGTCACGTAGATATTGAACGCGTTGCATTGCCGCAGTTTTAAAGGCCACGGTGACATCACCACCTGTGTTTGTTACTGTCGTTGGTAACCACCCATTGAGTTCTTGACGGCCTCCTCCAGAGACTTCCTGGTCACCAGAAGCCGCACGACGTCCTCGTTCTTCTTCGTTAGTCTTTTGCGCGCCTGGTCGTGGGTCATCATGGTCATATCGTAGCCGTTCACCTGGAAGAAGAGGAAGAGGAGGAAGAGGACTGCGTTTCAGAAAAGACATATTGATAATGATACAGTGGATCTAGTTTGAGTTTCTCTACACACCTGCATTATTTTGTCTCCCATCCTCAGGTCGGCTGTTTCGGCTGGTCCTCCCGGAGTTATCCTGGTCACATAGATCCCCTGAGGACGCAGAAAACACACATCATCCACTTTATATCAAGTACAGACGAGTGTTCATTTCGTCAGCTATTTTTTTATTTAGTTTTAGTCTTAGTCCTGTGTTACATTTCCTTTTTAGTTTTAGTCATATTTAGTCACCTTCATCCTGTTTTTATTTAGTCAAGTTTTAGTCGACTAAAAGTCTGAGCATTTCAGTCTTATTTTAGTCAAAGAAAACTGTTGAGTCTTTTTTAGTCATCAGATTATAGAACATTTCAGTCAAACTAGTCAAAACCAATCATTTGTCATTTTAGTAAATATAAATAAATAAGATTATATCTCGTCCTTATTTGATGAAAAACTCAGGTTGAATGATTAAGAAAGCAGCTTTGCAGAGAGTATCAGGTTTGTGGTGTTTTGGCCACATTGCTTCCCTTCTGATGAAACAATGCATTCGATTGTTTTCTCCGCCTCATTGGAGCGAAAATGGGCCCAAATATCACATCGTTTCTTTCTCCCAAGCCGTGGTGGCGTAGACTTTTTCGTTGTCACTCATTTTGACAGTCTTTCATTTCTCTAATGCCTCGTCTTTTTATGCAGCTGCGACGCAAAAACTGCCCAAATTGGGATCAATAATTTACTTCTTATCGTATCTTATTACAGAATACAGAAACCAGTACCTCCAAAATATTAAATAACAACAATCAATAATAAATCGCACACAAGATAAACCGAGCTGTAATCCATCTGCTTTATTAAATGTTAAAATTGTATGCAAGGTTTTTGTTGACTTTTTAGGGCTTGTTGTGGAATAAATAGTTTGAGGCTAAATGGAACAAAAGATTGTAGTTTCTCACGTTCCTATCCAGCCCTTTATATGAACCTTGTGTTGCACATAGAGGAATTGATTTAACGAGGTCTGAACCACTCTGTGGAAACCTGCAGTCAGACATATGACATCAGTGAGGGGTCTGTCTCCTCCGCAGGCTGCATGTCATGTGTCCAGGCTTGTCCTTCCTAGTAACACACACTTTTCCCCATCTGATGTTGAATACCTGAGCTCCAGATATTCAGATGTGTGTGTCGTGATAAATAAAGCAATGTTGTTGTAGCATGCATCGCATACTGCTGCTGTACATTGAATACCTAACGACACACACTGTTAGAGCCTTTTTCCTTTCATCATTATGGTTTGAATGTTTGGCTTGATAACATAAGGATTTAGAGTAAACTCTTATTTGTTTCTGTGAGTCACACTACGGGTTAAAAGATGTCTCACTTGTTGTCAGATGTGCGCTGTCGGGTATGACGTGCATGCCTCTATATGGCAGGACGATGGTTCACAGCTGAGGGTGTGATTAGACGGGAAGCGGTAGAGACTTTTGACCGTGTTCTTTTTGCTCCATTTTGATACGGAGAACTTTTAGTTACTTTGAAGCGAGGAAGTTTGTCTTCATGTTTGTATGCCGATTTGAAATTATGCAATTATCAATTATTTTCTTTTTTCTTGTGTCAGTCATCCAAACCAATCAGAAGGGCTGTGCTCCACATGTACCAGTCATTGTTAACCAATCAGAAGGGCTGTGCTCCACATGTACCAGCCATTGTTAACCAATCAGAAGGGCTGTGCTCCACATGTACCAGCCATTGTTAACCAATCAGAAGGGCTGTGCTCCACATGTACCAGCCATTGTTAACCAATCAGAAGGGCTGTGCTCCACGTGTACCAGCCATTGTTAACCAATCAGAAGGGCTGTGCTCCACATGTGGGGCTGTGCTCCACATGTACCAGCCATTGCTAACCAATCAGAAGGGCTGTGCTCCACATGTACCAGCCATTGTTAACCAATCAGAAGGGCTGTGCTCCACGTGTACCAGCCATTGTTAACCAATCAGAAGGGCTGTGCTCCACATGTGGGGCTGTGCTCCACATGTACCAGCCATTGCTAACCAATCAGAAGGGCTGTGCTCCACATGTACCAGCCATTGTTAACCAATCAGAAGGGCTGTGCTCCACATGTACCAGCCATTGTTAACCAATCAGAAGGGCTGTGCTCCACATGTACCAGCCATTGTTAACCAATCAGAAGGGCTGTGCTCCACATGTACCAGCCATTGTTAACCAATTCCAAATGGCTTCCAATGGAGCTCTCCTAGATGGTTTCTGAGTCAGGTTAGTAACGCTCCATCACATGTTTCTATTGCAGGGTGAACCTTAAACTGAAGCTTGACTTTAAAGCAACCCAACGGAAGTTTCATGTAAGTTTAGTTCTTTCACTCGTAGCTCGGGCTGCGGGGGCGCTAGAGACGGGAGCACGTTGATACGACCTTCCTAGCCGGAGATATGGCCGCATTTTACAATAAACTTCCGTTGGGTCGCTTAAAAACAAATATCGCAAATCGAATCGCAATATCTGTCAGGAAAATCGCAATTAGATTTCCCCCCAAATGGTGCAGCCCTGAAGCGGATGTTAAATGTAGAAACGGAGTAAAACGCCACGACACACACACTCTTACTTTGTCAGCCTTGTCGTCAGAGAAGGGGTTCTGTCCGGGGTCCTGGTCGATCCCTCCTCCGATGCTGAAGCCCAGGATCAGATTATCTCCCTGCCGCAGCTTCTTGATCTCAATCCGTTGCTGTTCCACAGGACACAAATCATCTTTATAAGGCTTTACCCGTTACATTTATAAACCCTGACACACTAAATACTTTTAGTAGTTTATAAATACTCCCCAAAACTGAAATAAAAAGCACAAAAAATACACAATATTTTCAAGGAAATGTGTTCTTATTTTGTGATGGTCATCAATCATAACTGCTACATTACATCTTGTTCATCTATGTGTTAATTTAAGGGATGGGACATTAGAAAACGTCATGTCATCATTTTCCTTTCCGAAGTATTCTCCTGCTAAATATAAATATGCTGCATTATAAAGTGTTTTTAGAAAGAAAACATTGTGTTAGTTAGAATATGTTAATTCTTACATTTTCTACCGTGATAGTCAGACAGCTTTTTAAAGCACTCATGTGGAGCTATTCACGATATTACCAACAATGGAAACTCAGCTCAATGGACTTATTGTGAGTGTTTTTATACGAATCGGCAATACATTAAAGACCTTCAAAAAGGCAAAAGAAGCGGATCAAACCCCAGCCCTGTTACCCTCCGCTGAGGCTCTGATTCACCCTCCGCCGAGGCTCTGATTCACCCTCCGCCGAGGCTCTGATTCACCCTCCGCTGAGGCTCTGATTCACCCTCCGCTGAGGCTCTGATTCACCCTCCACTGAGGCTCTGATTCACCCTCCACTAAGGCTCTGATTCACCCTCCACTAAGGCTCTGATTCACCCTCCACTAAGGCTCTGATTCACCCTCCACTGAGGCTCTGATTCACCCTCCGCTGAGGCTCTGATTCACCCTCCACTGAGGCTCTGATTCACCCTCCACTAAGGCTCTGATTCACCCTCCACTAAGGCTCTGATTCACCCTCCACTGAGGCTCTGATTCACCCTCCACTAAGGCTCTGATTCACCCTCCACTGAGGCTCTGATTCACCCTCCACTGAGGCTCTGATTCACCCTCCACTAAGGCTCTGATTCACCCTCCACTAAGGCTCTGATTCACCCTCCACTGAGGCTCTGATTCACCCTCCACTAAGGCTCTGATTCACCCTCCACTAAGGCTCTGATTCACCCTCCACCGAGGCTCTGATTCACCCTCCACTGAGGCTCTGATTCACCCTCCACTAAGGCTCTGATTCACCCTCCACCGAGGCTCTGATTCACCCTCCACAGAGGCTCTGATTCACCCTCCACCGAGGCTCTGATTCACCCTCCACTGAGGCTCTGATTCACCCTCCACTGAGGCTCTGATTCACCCTCCACTGAGGCTCTGATTCACCCTCCACTGAGGCTCTGATTCACCCTCCACTAAGGCTCTGATTCACCCTCCACTGAGGCTCTGATTCACCCTCCACAGAGGCTCTGATTCACCCTCCACTGAGGCTCTGATTCACCCTCCACTGAGGCTCTGATTCACCCTCCACTGAGGCTCTGATTCACCCTCCACAGAGGCTCTGATTCACCCTCCACTGAGGCTCTGATTCACCCTCCACAGAGGCTCTGATTCACCCTCCACTGAGGCTCTGATTCACCCTCCACAGAGGCTCTGATTCACCCTCCACAGAGGCTCTGATTCACCCTCCACCGAGGCTCTGATTCACCCTCCACTGAGGCTCTGATTCACCCTCCACTGAGGCTCTGATTCACCCTCCACTGACACATTTCAACACTTGACAACTGTCTGGTTTCAGAGGCTGTTTCCCACCGACTGAAGTCCGCAGAGACAGTCAGACTTTATTAGCCCTCTGCGAGCAGCTGCAGCTCCCAGAGCAGAGGAGGGATGAGTGTGACTCCTCACAACACTCCTGCACACAAAGGCAGCCTGTGTGTGTGTGTGTGTGTGTGTGTGTGTGTGTGTGCGTGTGTGCACTGATGAATAAGCAGATGTTCACTGAGTGCTGTCGCTGATCCAATGAAGTCTGAGGAAGTCTGGATTGTTGTTAACATCGAGTCATCAGTCAGCACACTTATGTCACCCAGTTAAAAGTGGTTTAAAAGCCTGACTGGCAAACGTTCCATCGCTTGAAACTATAAATATGATCTTTTACTATATGTGGACTGAGAGGGAATGTAATGTCATCCTAGTAATCATAGGGAACCTTTATATTAGACTTATTAGTTGGTCTTGGCGATACATTGATATATCAGTGTTTGAGTACACATTACATTACATGTCACTTGTTAGACGCTTTTATCCAGGTTTATGCTTTAACTGGGAAGTGTGCCATTAAGTACATATCGTGGTCCCAGCTGTCGGCGATCCTGAGCATAATAAATAGGCTGATACAGCCTAGCTCTTGAATATCATATTTGGAATCTGTTGCCTGAACAATACAGCATTAGGCTGTATAAACATCTCTTATTTGACAATACAATTTTACAAAATGTAAGATTTCTGCTGCTACAATGTTTTCATCCAAGGAAATGACTTTATATTATCAAGTAAGACACCCAATGATTTACAAACACCATGTATTTACTGATGGTTGATACCACATACCTTTAGGACACACAATACAGTTAACCTCCTATCTACACCCTTCTTTATCTGAACCCCACCCCTCACGTGACCCTGCAACACAGTCACCTAGCACCTCTGTGGCTTTTTCATAATCAGTTGTGAAAATTCCTGCAACATTTGAAGGCACCACCCTGTATGCTTTATCGTTTGCATTAAAGTGAGCCAGGAAGGCTGAAGCACAATAGGTGACGCCCAGAGAAAAGGTCGAGGAAAGTCTGATCATTTGATGAATTACATTGTATATGGTGTGCTAACATTAATACTATATAAGCCTCTCATTAAGTTAAACTTTCAGATCACAACACGTAAGAAAAATGAGAGCTGACATTAACAATGTAAAAAAATACCGTAAAGCGTAGAATATTGCCTTAAAAAGTAAGCAAATTGACAGATGAACTCAATGCCATTTACCATAGAGTTAAACATATGTCCTTAAAAAATAAGAACTTAGATAGTATAAACTCACGTGTATTTAGCGTTAAAGTCAGAATAATTCCGTAAAAAGTAATAAAATGACAGAATAAAGCTAAAAAAGATTTACCGTAAAGCTCAGAATACAAGTGCACTCGAACTCTAGGGGCGGTTTGTTTGCCCACCGGCTAGCTTTGTTTTGTAGCACCTCTGCTAAACAAACAAATAAAAGTTAATAAAGCTAGTTAACATTAGTAAGCTCATTATGACTAGTTAACTACATTGAATTCAGAGTTTTGTACTGACACGATTTCACATTGTGGACAAGCAGAACAAAAGAGAGCCGTTGAATGAACACTTTACGGTACTCCCAAACTTACCACAACTGCCACCAACGGCTGTCCCGGGATGAAATTCGACATTGCGCCACTACTATATTTAAAGTTATAAACAAATAAACAAACTAAAAAGCTACCACCAGCAGTTATTTTGGGGTAAAAAGCTCTTGATAGTGGGACAACTTGGTAGATTTACTCCATAAATCCCAGGCTGGAAAACCAACTGCTCTGCTTCCAGGGTGACGTCACCTGGCCCCCCAGCCTATCAAGTTAGCGCGTTTTGTAGCACGGGGTAGCGGGTGAGGGCGGTGTTTAACAGTCGGGTTTGTCTAATGCGTTACAAATCAAACTCCCAAAGTGTTGTTGGGCCCCCCTTGTGTTCCGAGACAAGTATGGGTGTCCCTTATAAGGACCTGGAAAACAGTGACCTCATGGTGATCTGAACAGGGTGGCTTCACCTGTAAAATAATGTATTCCTTATCATAGTATCACAACTTAAAAGTGATTTAACCGTTTGACAGAGGGACGATAGATCATATGAGATTTCAACGGTCTTTTATTTTGAAACTCTACATAAGAATGTCCTGATATTCTCTGAGTGAATATTTGGGGAGGCCTGCTATCGCCCTGCAGTGAAATTAGTATTTTATTATGAACATTTCTTCATTTATTCTTGTCTAAAAATAGAGGGACGATAGCTCATAGCCTATATGAGATTTCAACGTTCTTTTAATTTAAACTGTTCACTCATAGAGGGACTGTAGCTCATATGAGACTTTAAAGGTATTTTATTTTGAAACTGTTCACTCATCGAGGGACGATAAATCATATATGAGATTTCAACTGTCTTTTATTTTGAAACTATTCACTCATAGAGGGACGATAAATCATATATGAGATTTCAACGGTCTTTTATTTTGAAACTGTTCACTCAGAGGGACGATAGCTCATATATGAGATTGCAACGGTCTTTTATTTTGAAACGCTACATAAGAATCTCCGAGTGAATATTTCGGGTGGCCTGCGATCACCCTGAAGTGTGATTAGCCTTTGATTATGGACAGTTTTTTTATTTGTTCTTATCTAAAAATAGAGCGACAGTATGAGGACAGTATGAAATTTAAAATATGATTTAAAATATGTTTTATTTTGAAACTCTACATCAAAATGTCCTAATATTCTGATTTACGGGACTGTAGCTCATATACGAGACTTTAAAGGTCTTTTATTTTGAAACTGTTCACTCAGAGGGACGATATCTCATATGAGATTTCAACGGTCTTTTATTTTGAAACTGTTCACTCATAAAAGGGACGATAGCTCATATATGAGATTTCAACGGTCTTTTATTTTGAAACTCTACATAAGAATCTCCTGATATTCTCTGAGTGAATGCTATCACCCTGAAGTGAAATTAGTCTTTGATTATGGAGAGTTCTTTATTTGTTCTTATCTAAAAATAGAGGGACGATAGCTCATACAGTATATGACATTTAAAATATATTTTATTTTGAAACTGTACATCAGAATGTCCTAATATTCTGATGTACATAGAGGGATGATGGCTCATGAGACTTTAAAGGTCTTTTATTTTGAAACTGTTCACTCATAGAGGGACGATAAATCATATATGAGATTTCAACGGTCTTTTATTTTGAAACTGTTCACTCAGAGGGACGATAGCTCATATGAGGTTTCAAGTCTTTTATTTTGAAACTGTTCATCAGAATGACCTGATATTCTCTGAGTGAGTATTTGGGGTGGCCTGCTATCACCCTGAAGTGTCTCTATAGCTAAGAATAAGTGTAGATAACCCTGAGGTTCTGTGAGACTGAAGGGGATGTTGCATTGTTTTTGTTATTGAGCCTCCTTTGCAGCAAGCTCTGCGGCTGCATCAGCCCTTTTTGCAGTTAGGACCGAGGTTTCAGAATGGTGACTGGCGCTTGAATGAGAGGCAGTGACAGTGCCTTTCACGCGCCGCATCAAAATCAATATGGCTTCTTTAAATCTGTTATGTTCCGCTGACGCTCACCTGAATGCTTTTTACATATAACCCTTTTGTCAATAAAAACATGTTGAATGTGGAAAGTGTTAAAATGTACACTGAAAATCAACCACGGACACAAAATGGCTTAAAAGTGTTTTTAATATCTCTCCATGATTCTTGAGGCAATACTACAAAGACATTCAAATGATAAAGACGGCAAACGTTCACACTTTCCTTTAAACGATACAAAACGGATATCGACATCCTTCAGAAATAAAATAAGCTTATATATGTGATGCTCTCGATACATGAAAATCAAACTTAAAACGGCACGATAATAAAACGGTTTTTCTCTCAACTTTTAAGCCAAAGAGTTGTGCAACTGTCGCTTCCCTGTCCTACATCTCTGTGAAATCATATTACAATAACAATCCAACACAAAAACACAAGTCATTACCCCTCACTGTGTGACACACTACAAGACGCAGGCACAAGGAAGAAGGTCAGGACTACTTGATCGTTACAGTAGATATTCAGTCGGGCTAAAGCTCCTCTCTCCTCTGGAAGAAAAAAGATTACTAGGCATATTATTCAAATGATAAACCTCAGGCTGCATTGTCATTTCTTTAAGTGCTTCATTCCCCCAGCATGCTACAGACTGCAACATCCTCTCCTCCAGTGTGACCGCCTGTCTTCCGCGCAAGAAAAAAAACTCAATGACGTGGGGAAGTTAAATTAGTGTTAGCTTTGTTTTTGTGATGCAGGGACTTTAAATGCCACAATGTTTCCAAGAAAAGCAGGAGCTCTGGTAGTGAATGTGTCAAAGCTTCTAAATCTTATTTGTTGTCTTGATTAACAGCGGACAAAATGTCATGCACCAGATATCAGGCTTCTGAAGGTGCTGATGGTTTAACGTCACATATATCAATATAACATTTACTTAAAGTGTTGTAAATGAACAGTAATTAGTGTGTGCAGTTATACTGAAATGGAATGATGCAATTATCAGTTTGTGATTTATCTCTGCACACCATAACACAGAAGGATTCTCTACCGATTTACTCTGTCACTGTCAGTTATATTCATATGTGTATAGCTGCGTGTTAACAAGTCGTGATATTCTACCAGCCTCTAAACTAGGACTCGAGGTCAAGCGCTCTCAGAGTCTTCCTTCTTGTCCTTCTTCCCCTCGCCCTCTCCCTCGGTCGCCTCGCTGCCGTCGCGTCTGCGTTTGCGGTTTCGAGCGCTGGCCTTCGACGCCGGCAGAGACTCCATGCCCAGAACTTTGTGGATCTGACGGAAAGCGAGCAGCCGCAGAGCATGCTGCAAAAAGAGAGGGAACAGGAAAGAGAAATACAGTCAGTGGGTTCATCAGTTTACTCGTTATTACACAGCTGGTCCATTTCTACATTCTACATTCTTATTCCTGTATACAGTTGTGAAGGGATGTTGTATTTTTGCAGTCGTGTAAAGTTACAAAGTACATTAACTCAAGTACTGTACTATCTTTATTAAAAGCTAATGTCGTGCTATAAAGGAACTACATCACGGTCACATGACTTCACGTCACCACCGCTAAGCTAAAGACGGCTAATGTTGGGCTATAAAGGAACTACAGCACGGTCACATGACTTCACGTCACCACCGCTAAGCTAAAGGTGGCTAATGTTGGGCTATAAAGGAACTACAGCACGGTCACATGACTTCACGTCACCACCGCTAAGCTAAAGGTGGCTAATGTTGGGCTATAAAGGAACTACAGCACGGTCACATGACTTCACGTCACCACCGCTAAGCTAAAGGTGGCTAATGTTGGGCTATAAAGGAACTACATCACGGTCACATGACTTCACGTCACCACCGCTAAGCTAAAGACGGCTAATGTTGGGCTATAAAGGAACTACAGCACGGTCACATGACTTCACGTCACCACCGCTAAGCTAAAGGTGGCTAATGTTGGGCTATAAAGGAACTACAGCACGGTCACATGACTTCACGTCACCACCGCTAAGCTAAAGGAGGCTAATGTTGGGCTATAAAGGAACTACAGCACGGTCACATGACTTCATGTCACCACCGCTAAGCTAAAGGAGGCTAATGTTGGGCTATAAAGGAACTACAGCACGGTCACATGACTTCACGTCACCACCGCTAAGCTAAAGGCGGCTAATGTTGGGCTATAAAGGAACTACAGCACGGTCACATGACTTCACGTCACCACCGCTAAGCTAAAGGCGGCTAACGTTGGGCGTGATGACGTTTAGTCGTCACATTTTAACACTTGTTAGCAACTTCTGTTTTTAAATTCACCAGTGGGGTATTTTTATTTTATGTAGTGGAACAAAACATTAAAATCTCAAATCAGAATTACGTTTTTCAGCCTAATTTATACTCCGTGTGTACCTGTGCGCTAGCTGTGATATCCTCTCTGGCCTGGAGCATCATGGTGTCCAAAGTGTCCGTGGTGTCTTTCTCACACGGGTCCATCAGCCCCGGGCCGTCTGAGGGAGGGGGAACACGTTAAATAAGTTAAATTAGATAATGAAAGTCATTAAATCTGAGTGAAAAATTCAAATGTACAAGTTGATTTCATAGCACCAGAGGGAGGAATAAGGAAATATCAGCAGAAATAAAAACGACATAAAGTAATGAATCTTTTCTTTCTAGTGGCCAGAGCTTTCTTGAGTCCATTTGTCATTGAATTGTTTTTCATGTTGAATTACCTATTTATTTCCAGCACATTTAAGAGCATATCCATGGTAAACAAAAGATCTTAAGAGTGGTGCTTGTTTTTCCTCTTTTGTTAAGAGTTAGTTTTGTCAGAGAGAAACCCTAGAAGTGATAAAGTAGTGTGACCTGGCAGCAGGATGCCGGTGGAGATGCTCTCTAAGACTCGACGCATCGCCTCCCCGGGGCTCAGAGGACCTGAAGCACTGCTGATCACCTTCTCCACCAGCAGCTCAATCGCCTGGACACACACACACACACACACACACACACACACACACACACACACACACACACACACACACACACACACACACACACACACACACACACACACACACACACACACACACACACACACCACACACACACACACACACACACACACACACACACACACACACACACACACACACACCACACACACACACACCCACACACACACACACACACACACACACACACACACACACACACACACACACACACACAACACACACACACACACACACACACACACACACACACACACACACACACACACACACACACACACACACACACACACACACACAGTAAGAAGATATCTGGCAGGAGTTTGAAGGACCAATATATGTACTTCTCCAGCTGTCTCTTCATAAAGCATTAAGTCAAGACCTTTATGTCGACATCTGAGAGTTTCTCATCACAGCTTTGATTCAGCGCTGATATATATTCATATAGCTATGAATAAGGGTTGAACAGATACAAAAAAACTGCTTGCAATTGTCTTGTTATTGCAGTAGCCTGATGATTTATGACAATGTTCATTTTGTAAGACTTTGTGCATGAAGAATTACAACTATTATCTGAATAGTGTGATTTTCTCTAGGTTTACTTTACATACCTTTACATTAGCTTTGAATGTTTAAAACATACTTTTCATGTTACTGTTCTCTCTCAGAAAGCCCCATTAGAGACAGATATACAAAAAAAGGACAGAAGACTAAAAAGTAAATGCACATGCAGGAAACACTAAAACTGAATAATTCATATTAATAATAATAATGTGAAGAGTTGAGGCCTCTCACCCAGCCGGGCATCTTCTCCCAGGTGGGAACTCTCTGACATAGATCCCTCAGCACTCTGATGATGATCACACAGGACTGCAGCCCGTTAGCACGAGCCTGCGGAGAGGAGGGAAGAAAGACATCAGATAATGAGCATTATTTATAAAGACTGGGCTCCTCACAGTGCCACTATAACATCTCACTGATTACTTTAAATCTAGGTGTTAGAAAAACATTTGATTACTTTCTATCATCCAGTTCTGTGAGTGTACAGAATAATTAGTAAAGTAGTTTTTCTTCAGTAGACTAACAGAGATGCCGTCTGTAATTGTACACAAAATCCTACAATTTTAAGCCTAAAAGGAAATTAGGTCAGTTCACTTAAGTTCCCCCACTCCTCCACGTACGCCATATATTACAATTTTTTTAATTTAAATCAGAACCAAGTCACAAATGATTGAGCTTTTGTTAAAAAGAGGTCATATTCTGTTCATTTTCAAGCTAATATATCAGTATGTAGTGTCTCTACTTTAAAGAGTTCTCTCCTGCTGATGTTCAGGTGTATATCAGTATGTAGTGTATCTACTTTAAAGAGTCCTCTCCTGCTGATGTTCAGGTGTATATCAGTATGTAGTGTCTCTACTTTAAAGAGTCCTCTCCTGCTGATGTTCAGGTGTATATCAGTATGTAGTGTCTCTACTTTAAAGAGTCCTCTCCTGCTCATGTTCAGGTGTATATCAGTATTTAGTGTCTCTACTTTAAAGAGTCCTCTCCTGCTGATGTTCAGGTGTATATCAGTATGTAGTGTCTCTACTTTAAAGAGTCCTCCCCTGCTGATGTTCAGGTGTATATCAGTATGTAGTGTCTCTACTTTAAAGAGTCCTCTCCTGCTGATATTCAGGTGTATATCAGTATGTAGTGTCTCTACTTTAAAGAGTCCTCTCCTGCTGATGTTCAGGTGTATATCAGTATGTAGTGTCTCTACTTTAAAGAGTCCTCTCCTGCTAATGTTCAGGTGTATATCAGTATGTAGTGTCTCTACTTTAAAGAGTCCTCTCCTGCTGATGTTCAGGTGTATATCAGTATGTAGTGTCTCTACTTTAAAGAGTCCTCTCCTGCTGATGTTCAGGTGTATATCAGTATGTAGTGTCTCTACTTTAAAGAGTCCTCTCCTGCTGATGTTCAGGTGTATATCAGTATGTAGTGTCTCTACTTTAAAGAGTCCTCCCCTGCTGATGTTCAGGTGTATATCAGTATGTAGTGTCTCTACTTTAAAGAGTCCTCCCCTGCTGATGTTCAGGTGTATATCAGTATGTAGTATATCTACTTTAAAGAGTCCTCTCCTGCTGATGTTCAGGTGTATATCAGTACGTAGTGTCTCTACTTTAAAGAGTCCTCTCCTGCTGATGTTCAGGTGTATATCAGTATGTAGTGTCTCTACTTTAAAGAGTCCTCTCCTGCTGATGTTCAGGTGTATATCAGTATGTAGTGTCTCTACTTTAAAGAGTCCTCTCCTGCTGATGTTCAGGTGTATATCAGTATGTAGTGTCTCTACTTTAAAGAGTCCTCCCCTGCTGATGTTCAGGTGTATATCAGTATGCAGTGTCTCTACTTTAAAGAGTCCTCTCCTGCTGATGTTCAGATGTATATCAGTGTGTAGTGTCTCTACTTTAAAGAGTCCTCTCCTGCTGATGTTCAGGTGTATATCAGTATGTAGTGTCTCTACTTTAAAGAGTCCTCTCCTGCTGATGTTCAGGTGTATATCAGTATGTAGTGTCTCTACTTTAAAGAGTCCTCTCCTGCTGATGTTCAGGTGTATATCAGTGTGTAGTGTCTCTACTTTAAAGAGTCCTCTCCTGCTGATGTTCAGGTGTATATCAGTATGTAGTGTCTCTACTTTAAAGAGTCCTCTCCTGCTGATGTTCAGGTGTATATCTGTGCTGCAGCACCTCTTTTCACCCTCTGTCTGAAACCAGAGCCCAGTCTGCTCCGATTGGTTAGCTGGCCGGCTCTGTTGTGATTGGTCAACCACTTAGGCTAAGAGGCGGGACATCTCTATCACGTACAATGTGTTGGAGCGCTAGCCAATAGGAGCCCGAGCGTACCATAGTGATGTTACTGTTTTGGAACATATGGATTTTAGCTTCTGCAGACCATTTACATGCACACCACAGGAAAGGGAAAACCCCCCAAAATAGCGTCTCTTTAGACATTTTGAAATGCTTGTGAAGGATTTACCTGAAACCATTTAGCATGGCGGAGAGAAGCGAGGTTTTCCAGACACTTCCTCTTATTCAGCAGATCAGTGGGCTCCTCCTCAGCCACACCTGGGGGAGAAAACGTGCACATCACTTACAGTCAAGATAACGCTAATAAAAGGACTGTGCAGCACATAGTAATTGTTGTTACTGTTCATATACCGAGGCTGAGCAGGGGAGAAATCATAAAAACACTCGTGTTTATCTCAGGACATTTCCTCTTTGGTTTTGTGAGAATAATAATGAGGGGAAGATATGAGAGAAAAGAAAGCATTTGATCATCAAACGACGTGTTTTACAGATATTTTCTTTGGCGTGGAAGCTTACAGAAACATTTGTTCAAAAAGGTCATTCAGAGAGACGAGTGGGGACGGGGTTGGATTTAACTTTTTGAGCTCCCCATTGACATCAGGTCAGCAGAAAGCCTACACATCTTTCGTCCCTGAAAACCCACCATTCTTGCTTGTACTCTGGCACTTAAAGAGTTAAGCCCATTTGAAGCTAATGCACCAACACTTTGGCTTATTTGAAGCGACTATATCTGCACTTTGGATTAAAGCTAAATCTTAATGTAATGAGCTTGAACTCTTGAGTGTTTTGGATTTCTTCTGCACAAAAGAAGCCTGAGTTAAAAAAGAGTTTGAGCTTCAAATACTTTCTACAACTCTTCATCATGAAACAAAGACATCATCCTTTTGGAAAGATGCTCTCATTCTGAATTACATGTTTTAATTAGCCCCCAATTCCTATAACTCCTCTTCAAGAACCCCTCGATTCCACCGGGTCCGTCTGCGCCGCGGCTTTGGTCCGGCGTCATACCCTACCGGGCGCGTTTCAGAAGCGGAGCGTCTTGCGTGCCGGCTCGCAGTTTTTGTTGATTTGGGCATGTTCCCTGGACAGGCTACTTTGTACAGACACAGTTAATAATAATTGTAATATTCCAGTTATAAACGACATGAATCAAAGATGTGTTGCTGTATTTTAGTGGTAAAAAAATGCATTCATCATCATAATTATTCTATATATATATAATTTACACAGTGCCTGTAAACCGGAGGAGAACGCAGGCCTTTCTCCTCCTACTTGAACGACTACGGAGGGATAGGGTCTGCAAAATTAATTTATTTTGGGGATTGACTGGATGCTCTGACCGGTCCACTTCCTGCCCGGCGCGTAGCATCGAAAATAGACTTGCATTCTATTTTGAGCGGAGCCCAGCGCCGAGACGCTTCTGGGACGCTTCTGAGCCGTAACGCGACGCAGACGGACCCGGTGGAATCGAGGGGTTAGACACCTTTTATGCGGATAAAGGCACAACACTGAAGATAGTTCTTTCCCTTTATGCCTCTATATTTTAAAGACAGTATAACATATATTAAAGCCACAAAGGGAGAAAACACAGTTATGTTAGTTTAGAAATAAATATAGTTTTTTGGATTAAGGTGTTCATTTGATGGGACAGTTTGAGGATAAATTAAGAGACATATTCATTGTGGTTACTGATGATTAAGTAATGATTCATAAGAATAACGTTGGGGCTTTCCACACGTCTATCTTCTCCAGAACTGAAGCAGAAACACGTAAATTAGCTTACTTACAGAGAAATACATGACAAAAACAACGCCACTTTTTCGAAGCCTACACTTCAATACCACTGAGAATCAAAGACCCGTATTTATCATAACTCTTAGAGAGAGGGATAGAGTGGTGCAGGAATGAGTCTTAAAACACGGGAATGAGTCAGCATTTTAGCACTTCCTGTTAGCCGGAAATAAAGTCTGTGGTTAACACAAGCTGAAGAGATTTTAACGTTTCATTCTACGACATAAAATACGTCACTAAATACCCCACTGGAGGATTTAAAAACAGAGGTTGCTAACAAGTGTCTAAATGAGACGACTAAACGTCATCACACCCAACATTAGCCACCTTTAGCTTAGCGGTGGTGACGTGAAGTCATGTGACCGTGCTGTAGTTCCTTTATAGCCCGACATTAGCCACCTTTAGCTTAGCGGTGGTGACGTGAAGTCATGTGACCGTGCTGTAGTTCCTTTATAGCCCAACGTTAGCCGCCTTTAGCTTAGCGGTGGTGACGTGAAGTTATGTGACCGTGCTGTAGTTCCTTTATAGCCCAACATTAGCCACCTTTAGCTTAGCGGTGGTGACGTGAAGTCATGTGACCGTAATGTAGTTCCTTTATAGCCCAACATTAGCCACCTTTAGCTTAGCGGTGGTGACGTGAAGTCATGTGACCGTGCTGTAGTTCCTTTATAGCCCAACATTAGCCTCCTTTAGCTTAGCGGTGGTGACGTGAAGTCATGTGACCGTGCTGTAGTTCCTTTATAGCCCAACATTAGCCACCTTTAGCTTAGCGGTGGTGACGTGAAGTCATGTGACCGTAATGTAGTTCCTTTATAGCCCAACATTAGCCACCTTTAGCTTAGCGGTGGTGACGTGAAGTCATGTGACCGTAATGTAGTTCCTTTATAGCCCAACATTAGCCACCTTTAGCTTAGCGGTGGTGACGTGAAGTCATGTGACCGTGCTGTAGTTACTTTATAGCCCAACATTAGCCTCCTTTAGCTTAGCGGTGGTGACGTGAAGTCATGTGACCGTGCTGTAGTTCTTTTATAGCCTAACATTAGCCTCCTTTAGCTTAGCGGTGGTTACGTGAAGTCATGTGACCGTGCTGTAGTTCCTTTATAGCCTAACGTTATCTTTTTACTTCAAAAATCATTGTGTAAATATCATAAACGTTTGTTTGTCACAGATTATTTCCTGCAATAATCCAATATCACATGGAGAAATCCCATTGGACCAGGGAGATACTGCCTTCAGGGTCCAACACAGACATCCCTGCACCACTCTACTGATTTAGCAGAAGTTAGAAGAGAGTAGTTCCTCTTCTAAGAAGCTTAATAAACACGGGCAGCCTGGTAACTTTAACACTTTGTTTTCTCAGTGGTATGTGGACGAGCCACTGGTTTGTCTAGGTCTGCTGATTCAGGAGGAGGGGCTCTGATCAACAAACCCAAACAAAAGTTAAAATAATAAATAAAAAAAGACACAGAAAACATTGTCATGTTTTCCAGATGGGAAAAAAAATACACATTAAAATACTGACAGTTACTGGAGCAGGTGGAGGAGTGTTTGCAGCACAATGATATCAGCAGTAACCTTTACTCCTAATGAAGGGGTGGGCAATGAATATGATTTACTGATTGAATCCATTACAGCTCAACAGTGAAAGCTCTGGTTCTGGACGTGAGTTTCCCATCAGAAAAGTTAAGAGTTTGAAGCGTGGATCTCAGCCAATCACTTACGAGATGAATCGTGGTTATTAAATATTTGATTCTAAAAAAAGATTATAAACACTGGAAACCGATAAAGTTAGACGACTGAATATAATTATTTTGTGGCAGGCTATTTTCTTTGCTCTCATTACATGTCATGTTTCAGATTACATTTAGATGTTTATACAACTACACTTTGTCTATTTGCATCTGTAGATCTTTAATAAATGAACATAAGATGACGCCTCACCTTCGCTGTCATGTGACTGGTGGTAAATACAGATTCTGAGGTCTTCTGAAGAGTTAAGACAACCATGCAATTTTATAATCTACAAGGAGCCAATTACGCTGGTGGGTCACGCAAACAATTACATAATGCAGTGTTTCCCATACATTGATTTATTTGTGGCGGGCCGCCACAATTAAATATCGTCCGCCACAAATGGATTTCATAAAAAAAAATATATATATTTTTTTTTTTTTTTTTTTGGTGGTCTGGATAGTGAGGTGATTATCGGAAGGTTGCGAGTTCAAATCCTGCCTGGAACACCACTTGCCCTTGAGTAAGGCACTTAGCCCTCGGTTACTCCAGGGAGAATGTCCCTGTAATCGGTCATTGTAAGTCGCTTTGGAATAAGGCGTCTGCGAAATGCCTAAATTGTAAATTATATTTTTGGGAGAATAAACCTCACAGATCCTCAACTCCGGTGTGTCTCACTCATTAACAGCGCAACACAGAGCAACAAGAACGTTGTCTACAGTAGCCATAAACTCGCATATATTATCTTATTTGAGGGGGGGGTGGATGCGTGGACCACCCGAATAGGTTAAGGGGCCTTTGGCTTTTCTTGCCGGGGGGTGCGGTGCAGTGCCCCCACAAATAGAATCAAATTCTGTGGGAAACACTGTAATGTCATCTTATATCGCAGATCAGCGTCGATTTATGTTTAAATTAAAAGCTATAGGGGATCACTTAAACTGTGATTCCCTTGGCTTGTCAGGGTTTTATATCCTAATGCAGCGTCTACAGACACTACTTTAACATCTAATGGCGCATTTCCACTGCAGCACGGTTTAAGCGTGCCGTGCCAAACCCGGCCCGTTTTTTGTTGCGTTTCCACTCGGCGTAGTTCCGGCTAGCGGGTACTTTTTCAGTTTTCTGGCACTCCAAAATCCAGGTTCTTTCCGGGCCAACAACCGGGCTGAGTATGCTAAACTAGTGAGAGAATCGCTGGCAAGGGGGCTACAACTACAACAAGGTGAACATATTTGACCGTGATTGAATTGTAATACACGTTTCAAAATGATGCCGAAGTAACAACACACTGATACCGGTTAGTAAAAACCATGAATTAATGCTTTGACAAGTCTGCAGACAGACGGCAGAGAAAGACCTTTAAAATGCGTGTTTTGTGAATGGAGATCGGCTAAGCTAACGCAGTATATGCTCCGACCGTCCACACTCACAACAACGGCCTATACAGACATAAATAAACCAGCGACTGTATTCGCCATGACACAGGCAGTCTGTGGTTTGTACTGGTTTAACTTTTGTCTAGTTTCTGAACAGATATGAGGAGCTGTGAGCTCTGAGTGCTAAGAGCTAACGGCTGATGTTATGTTTCGCATTGAAGATGACGTCACGGCTCCGCCTACACTGCGTTACTATAGTTACTGCCCCAGCTACTAAACTGAAATGGAAACGTAGCATAAAGTGAGCTTGGCCTACCAAGGCCTAACCATACCGTACTAAGCCGTGCGAGGCCCTGCAGTGGAAATGCGCCATAATATTACAATGGTTTACTGACGATAGACGTTAGCCTCATTAGCATCATTAGCTGTGATGAAGTGTTTCCCACTGATGTACAGTATTGTTTTAAACCTGAAGACACAGATCTCTACTGTTACAGTCCTCTTCTCTAAGTGCAGGTAAAGTCAATTGTAATTCTGGATCCTTTTACGTTGTTCAACATGCAGTACAGTGAGTGATGTCATCAGCTCTAACAATGAAGGATTGTGGGTAGTGTAGTACTGCTCCATGACATCGCAAATAACACATGTATATCTGGATATCATAAGGACATATTTTCCCATCACAATCTCATAGCTTTCCTATTTTTGATGGTAACAAAATGATAGTCAAACACTTCCCTTGATAGTTTGAATGGGATCCTCACTTCCTGGACCTCACTGTTGAGCTTTATTATTCTAACACTGATCATTGTAAGTGCATAAAAAGACACTCCAGCACCTCTTCTCTGATAATGCCACAGAAGGAAGCAGGGATGAGAGATGAGGGGAGGGGAAGTCGCTGGACCTCTCGTTAGGAATCGTGACCAAAACGCCACAAGAAGTCTAAGAAAAGTAGATATTTGTGGAACAATATTTCCATAATTTGAAGTGTTTTTCATCCCTGGGCATTATCTGAACATCATCCTCAGTTACTGTAGTTTCCCCAAAGGTTTCATGTGAGTGTGTGTTCACAGGGTCAACACACACCCTCGTGGCACAGAAAGGTCGGAGAGCCCGGCTTTTGATTCCCATGTTGTCGAAAAAACAAATAAAGAAATTCGGGGGGATATTGTAAGCTGCAAAAAAGAAATGGGGGTAAAATGAGAAAAAAGTGGGGACAAATGAATGCGAGTTAAATCTTATTTCAGGGGTTAAAGAAAATAAAAGTTGAACGTGGGCTTGGTTAAAAAGTCCCACTTCTCTTTTGGTGTGATTTAAAAGCTTCACAGCCTAAAAAAATAGGCTGGTTATGGGTGGAAGGGTGGAGCGAGGGGTATATATATATATAAATATTATATATAAGTGTATTACACACATCGCTTACATCTGGTCGCCTGGTACTGAAAGCTTTGGCTTCTCTAACCTTTCTCAGCCGCTTTTCCTCCTGCCTGCTTGTCCTTCTCAGAAGCAGAGTCCTCCCTCATCAGCGGCGAGGTGAGAGAAATGGTCACCTGCATTTTGGGCTCCTTGCTTGAAAATATCACGATGTTGGCCTCCTCGGGGTGAGCCTGCACCTCATACTGATCTTCAGAAAATGTCTGCCGGTTCAAAGGACACTTGGGATTACTCACTACAGAGGAGGCGGGGCAGAGAAAAGCCTCATAGGGCAATACTGGTATGTTTTTAACCCCTAGTTCTTTATTTTCAAGGTATTTAACAAGGGTGTTATCATTGAAACATTTCACATTTAATGTTTGTGATTGTGGTTTAATAATAATAAAAAAGCCCCATCTCACTCTGTAGGATTCAGGTGTCATAACCAGGCAGTGCATCTAAAGATCAGTCAAAAGCAGCTTCAATCAAACATTACAGCAGGAGGGAGGAAGAGGGAGGAATTACAACACGTCAAACCCTGTGTTTGGAGACAATCCTCTGTGGAGTGGAGCTCAGATGGAAATGTTTGTTCAGGCTAAAAGGCAGTTCAGTCATTTGTGAACATGAACACGTTTTCTCCCAAAGCCAGAAAGCATTACAAGAAACAGACTTAATGGATTTAGACCAGTTATCTTTGAATAAAAGCAGTTCTGAACCATCAAATCATGTGAACTGGTACTGTAAATCCACAGACAACTTTAACTTCCAGCATTATCAAGTCAAAAGAGATATAAGAGAATACAAGAGATAGTTTGGATGTTTTGGAGTGGGGTTGTATGAGGTCAGTATTTTATCTAAAGTAGATTGAGGTTGGAGAAGCTTTAATTTAGAGAAACAGACAGAAGCACCATCAGGAAGTGAAGCAATAGGCACGTTCACATCGCAGTACCTTTCCCACTTTAGTTCCAATATAGTTCCTAAATGTCGCGTTCACACCAAAAAGAGCCGGAACTAAAATTAGTTCATGAGAACCTTTTTACCCCCTTTTCCGTCCCTCCGAGGGAGAAAGCGGTTCCTGTGTCTGATTGGCTGGAAGGATTGCAAACCACGGCCCGTAAAACTCCAAAAAAGTTTTGTGAAGCCGCCATTTTATTATCCTCGCATTAGCATTATTAGCATTAGCATTAGCCCAGCGCAGAAACGCAGAGAGACTAACTTATGGCAACACAAAAGAAAACATGGGAGCGGTGGAGATGAGGAGGTGTCGGCGTTCTGGCGATTTACTCGGAAGGCTTCAGTAGAAGCTGCTGGGACTCCCAGCAGCTTCTACTGAAGCCTTCCCCAACTCCGGGGACTTCCGGCCGGGGACTTTGGGCGGCAGTATACTCCGTGAAGTGGTTTGCGGCCTGCCAATAAACCCAAAGCAGAAGAAGAAGAAGTGACGTCAGCGGCTTCATTTGCCTAATCCTCCCTCAGGAACTTATTCCGGTGTGAACGCGATCTGAACTTAGTTCATGAGAACTAAAGAGTTCACATGAACTAAGTTCTCATGAACCTTTGTGGGAAAAGTACTGCGGTGTGAAAGCGCCTACTGTACAGCATCAGGAAGTGAAGCAATGTTCTGAAAACCATTGTAGCAGCAAAACACATAATCAATATGAGTAAAAGTGGACTCTATACTTAGAGTATTTTCACCTCTCTACGTTGCAGTAAAGAGGTGAAAACCATGGATTAGCATCTCCTTCAAACCCACCTCAAAACAGCCAAACATCCCTTTTATAGTCATAGTATAATTATATAATGTGTGGAGGACAAACTGCTGTGTTGTTTCTGGCTGTGGAGAACACCTGTTCACGTTCACAAATGATGAATGAGCCGCTCTAGCGTTTGACAGAAACCCATCTCCGGGTTGTGTTTTGTTTGCTAACTCGTCTGCCGTCTTCCTCACGACGTTTTGATTGTTTGTTTGTGTTATACATGTTGTGAAAACTTCTCGTTCTCATTCTGTTTGTTACATAACAATACAGAGCTGCAGTCGCTAATGTCCTGCTCTTATGACACAAGGCAGCACATTTTATTTTTAAATAGACTTGCATTACATTCAACAAACTTTTATAAAACTTTCTCGCTGTTTTTGTTCGGATCTACAGTTTATAATCCAAGTGTGTCACGAAATGCTAAAATAGTTTAAGATACAAATGTAAGAGAGTCAGTGTTGTGAAGTCCAGGTTGACCACAGTTCCTCCCTCCATTAGCCTCAACCAATGTCCTAAATCCACCGGCGAGGTTCTCTTACCTGCAGTTCTTTGGGCAGATTCTTGGCGATGTTCTTCAGCAGAGTGATGGTGGGTTTCTTAGCCGTCAGAAGGATCAGTTCCACATTTCTGTCCCCGCGAAGAAGCAGGCCTTTAGCCAGGATGCCTACTCTCATCACTCCTTTCAGGACCCGAGGAGAGTTCTCCGTGCTGCGAGAGAAACACGTTATTCAGCTGAGGTGGTTCCTTTAACACTGGAACCACCAACGGGTACATTTTACCTGCAGCTGTTTCTTGATTGTATGTAACTTTTTTTCAATAAAATATTCAAGTCTCCCAGTCCGTGACTTTTCCTGAAAGTCTGTTATGTAGCGCCCTCTGTTGTTACACATGGTCAATATGAAGACAGATTGAAAAAATGGCCCAAAAAAATGGCCATTTAGGCCCATCAGCGCCAGCGGGTAATATTTACATAATAGAGTGTTTACATAAACATGACGTGTTGCTATAGCAACGCCTATTGTTTACTGCGGTTCCTTATAGATAGATAGATAGATAGATAGATAGATAGATAGATAGATAGATAGATAGATAGATAGATAGATAGATAGATAGATAGATAGATAGATAGATAGAGAGATAGATAGAGAGATAGATAGAGAGAGAGAGAGAGAGAGAGAGATAGAGAGAGAGAGATGGATAGAGATGGATAGAGAGAGATAGAGAGAGAGAGAGAGATGGATAGAGAGAGATATAGAGGGATAGAGAGAGATAGATAGAGAGAGAGAGAGATGGATAGAGAGAGAGAGATGGATAGAGAGAGATAGAGAGAGATAGATAGAGAGAGAGAGATAGAGAGAGAGAGATGGATAGAGAGAGATAGAGAGAGAGAGAGATGGATAGAGAGAGAGAGAGATGGATAGAGAGAGATAGATAGAGAGAGAGAGATGGATAGAGAGAGATAGAGATAGAGATAAAAGAACATTGTACCTTGAAAATCAATGCATTCTAATAGCGGGTACATTTTACCCATTGGCGGTTTTAGGTATACAGCGACGTCTGGCGGTTCTAGTGTTAAAAGGTGCTTTAAGACGATATTATACTGATGATTTTAATAATAATTAAAAAATATTTGATTTTTGTAGCGCTTTTCCTAGTGCTCAAAGACCCTCTTTACCCCTTCTCGTCTCCTCCCTACATGCATAAAGCAGAGTGCCAGAAGCCCCTCGTCTCCTTCCTACATGCATAAAGCAGAGTGCCAGAAGCCCCTCGTCTCCTTCCTACATGCATAAAGCAGAGTACCAGAAGCCTCTCGTCTCCTTCCTACATGCATAAAGCAGAGTGCCAGAAGCCCCTCGTCTCCTTCCTACATGCATAAAGCAGAGTACCAGAAGCCCCTCGTCTCCTTCCTACATGCATAAAGCAGAGTACCAGAAGCCTCTCATCTCCTTCCTACATGCATAAAGCAGAGTACCAGAAGCCTCTCGTCTCCTTCCTACATGCATAAAGCAGAGTACCAGAAGCCTCTCGTTACCCCTTCTCGTCTCCTCCCTACATGCATAAAGCAGAGTACCAGAAGCCCCTCGTTACCCCCTTCTCGTCTCCTTCCTACATGCATAAAGCAGAGTGCCAGAAGCCTCTCGTTACCCCTTCTCGTCTCCTTCCTACATGCATAAAGCAGAGTACCAGAAGCCTCTCGTTACCCCTTCTCGTCTCCTCCCTACATGCATAAAGCAGAGTACCAGAAGCCCCTCGTTACCCCTTCTCGTCTCCTCCCTACATGCATAAAGCAGAGTACCAGAAGCCTCTCGTTACCCCTTCTCGTCTCCTTCCTACATGCATAAAGCAGAGTGCCAGAAGCCTCTCGTTACCCCTTCTCGTCTCCTTCCTACATGCATAAAGCAGAGTAACAGAAGCCTCTCGTTACCCCTTCTCGTCTCCTTCCTACATGCATAAAGCAGAGTACCAGAAGCCTCTCGTTACCCCTTCTCGTCTCCTTCCTACATGCATAAAGCAGAGTACCAGAAGCCTCTTGTTACCCCTTCTCGTCTCCTTCCTACATGCATAAAGCAGAGTACCAGAAGCCTCTCGTTACCCCTTCTCGTCTCCTTCCTACATGCATAAAGCAGAGTGCCAGAAGCCCCTCGTCTCCTTCCTACATGCATAAAGCAGAGTCCCAGAAGCCTCTCGTTACCCCTTCTCGTCTCCTTCCTACATGCATAAAGCAGAGTCCCAGAAGCCTCTCGTTACCCCTTCTCGTCTCCTTCCTACATGCATAAAGCAGAGTCCCAGAAGCCTCTCGTTACCCCTTCTCGTCTCCTTCCTACATGCATAAAGCAGAGTACCAGAAGCCTCTCGTTACCCCTTCTCGTCTCCTTCCTACATGCATAAAGCAGAGTACCAGAAGCCTCTCGTTACCCCTTCTCGTCTCCTTCCTACATGCATAAAGCAGAGTACCAGAAGCCTCTCGTTACCCCTTCTCGTCTCCTTCCTACATGCATAAAGCAGAGTCCCAGAAGCCTCTCGTTACCCCTTCTCGTCTCCTTCCTACATGCATAAAGCAGAGTACCAGAAGCCTCTTGTTACCCCTTCTCGTCTCCTTCCTACATGCATAAAGCAGAGTGCCAGAAGCCTCTCGTTACCCCTTCTCGTCTCCTTCCTACATGCATAAAGCAGAGTACCAGAAGCCCCTCGTTACCCCTTCTCGTCTCCTTCCTACATGCATAAAGCAGAGTGCCAGAAGCCTCTCTTTACCCCTTCTCGTCTCCTTCCTACATGCATAAAGCAGAGTGCCAGAAGCCTCTCGTTACCCCTTCTCGTCTCCTTCCTACATGCATAAAGCAGAGTGCCAGAAGCCCCTCGTTACCCCTTCTCGTCTCCTTCCTCAGCAGCTTCAGTCTCCACAGGTGGCTCCTCCTTCTCCAGCAGAGAGTCAGACACCAGCTTCAGCGCCCGCTCGGAGTGAGAGACGATCCTCTGCACCGCCTGCAGCTCCTCCTCCACCGGGTAGATGGTGGAGTGTTTGGCCATGATGTGCCGGTCATCGGGGGAGTCTGGTCGACGCACACAGGTCTGTAAAAAGAGAGGGGGGATAAAGTGATTACACCAATCAGCTTCTTTCACAAATTCTCAGGATCCTGAATTTTTCATTTGCAAATTCTCACTTCACAAAAATCAATTTTTTTGATTAAATCCTGATTTTTTTTCTCCAAAAATCTCACTTTTTTTTCAAACTCCTGACTTTTTATATAATTCTAACTTCTTTTTCAGAATTGAATTGATGCTCATGTGTTTCAGTGTTGGTGTTGCTGCCTGAATATGCTTCATGAAAGGCAGGTTTTCCTTTCAATAAAATCATTTCTGATCCTAAATATCTTGCTTTCTTATTGTTCTGCTGTCTTACATAATACACAACATACTCTCTTCAGTTGTTTACTAACATTGTAATAAGTCAGCTGCAAGTATGTCATAGAGTGCCGCAGTGACGCGTCCTAGAACCCGGGAGTTAGTCAGCATGTCACCACTTCCGTTTCCCTCGACAAAAAAGCAATGGGATTTCTCCATAGGGTTTAGGAAACTATCTGAACTAAGGTCTGTGGTTGAGACGCATTGAAGAGACGGATCACGTTTTGTTCTACGACATTAAATCCTCAGCAGTGACCCCGCTGGTGATTTCTGAAGAGTTGACGTGTCTGAAAAACGATGGTTGTTACCAAGTGGCTGAATAGGACTACAGAAGTCGTGGAGGCCGTTGAACGTCATTACGCCGAACACGTGAACACTCCTCTAAGTTAGTTTCTGTTCTGCTTGAAAGCAAGTCCCTGCCTCCTGCAGACTGTTCAAACAAACGCTTCAACTCGTTCCATCTAGAGTCTGTGTGTTTGAATATGGATCTGAAGTTGGCGTGACGTTGAAGCAGCGACCCTGCTGTAGTTCCTTTATAGCATAACGTTAGCATTTAGCTTCTTGCGACTAGATTTATGATTAGAAAATTATAAAGTAGGGTAGACATGTGGAGATTATCCTCTGAACAAAACGTGATCCGTCTCTTCAATGTGTTTCAACCACAGACCTTAGTTCAGATAGTTTCCTAAATCCTATGGAGAGATTGCATTGCGTTTTGTTCAAGGAACCGGAAGGAGTTTACAGGGTTTTAGGATGCGTCACTCTATGAGGGACACCTAATACAACACAATTTCTTTGGGGGTAATGTGTGTTTTTTTCATATATGCGTCGCCTAATTCCTGCTAGCAATCCCCAATTATTAGGAATGTAACAGACAGTCTGGCTCTAATGTACATTTCCCAAAGATATTGAAATGACTGTTATTTTGTATCGATTGTTGTGCTTTTATTTATGTCTTAATGTGTGCATCTGTATACATGTGTCTTTTGATTTTTACATATATTTGTTTTTGTATTCTGGATTGTGGGAAACGGTCTCTCTCTGTCTGTACACACAAACTGAAAGATTGACAATAAAGTTGACTTTGACAAATGTGATTGTGATAAACACAGCAGTACTAGCACTCACCAGCAGGGGGGGTACGGGCATCCCAGGGCGGCTCATCAGTGGGGGGGGGCACCATCCTGCGCCTCTGCTCCCCCCAGTACATCTGCTCCTCCTCCATCCTCCTCCAGTACATGTCCTCCTCGTACCGCCTGCAGCAGGGGGATCAATAACACTTATTGAGAGTCATTTGCTCCCACAGGCAGTCCATGGAAATGCACTATAGTCTAAAACAGGGGTCGGCAACCCGCGGCACCGTAACCAGTGGCACACTAGGAATAAGTGTAATAAGTGTGCAAAATATTTAAATGTTATTTTCGGATCCTGAACGAGACCGCCGCCAGAGCGCGTCTCCCCGTTACCCGCAGAAGGAAGCCATGCACGCAACGCAGCCCCGCTCTCTTTAACTCCAGGTGACTTTCTGCCGCTTTCTTCCGCAGTGATCGTTTCCCCACGGAGGAAAGCACTTCACTAATAGCAGTACCCATAACGAGCTGTACAAATGCCGCAGTTTTTGCGTGGCTGTGTCTTTAGTTGAAAGCCCAGTGGCGATCTGCTCATCTCTCATTGAAATAACATGCTACTAAGGGACTGGCCATCTGTGTTCTGGAGAATCACAGAACGGACGGTCGTCATTATTATTATGCCGTTTAAACCAATTATTTAAATTTGTTTGTTAAATTCGGCATCATGTACGCTGACAGGTCCACACACTGCTTCCCCGCAGCGAGGCTCCCCCGCCCCCCCGGTGACAGTTCACGAGCGTCGAGCTCCTCGCCCCCCCCCCTGTTGATAATTCACGATCGTCGGCACGCTGATAAAAAAAATGGTTTTAATGGCACTTCATATCAAAAAGGTTGCCGACCCCTGGTCTAAAATAAAGTGACATGAGATAAATATTCATACAGACATTTGAGTTAAAAACATTGTGTTTCTTGAAAGTTATCAACTGATGGAGGACAGGATGCAGGAAGGACAGGTAACATTAATTTGATCATAGTGTTGTAACAGCATGAGGCTTTCACAGTAAGACAACATCTCCACTATTTTATATATCACTATTATTATTATTATGAATAATGACTCTTAAAGAAATGAAATAAAATAACAGAATCTATAATATTCTTTATAGCCAAAAGCCTTTGAGTGTACCCGTTAGTGGCACATGATACATTAAGATAAGATGTTTATAAGATTGTGTTGCAGCAGCATAAAAGACAAGGCATTGCACATAAGATACATTTAAAACAGTAGAAATAAACTATTCTAAAATGTAAACATATCAAAATCGAAATAAAACAGCATTGAAAAAGTAGAAAATATACTTGTTGAAATACCAATTTACAGTAAACAAAATATAAAGCAGGATATTATATAAATTAAGTGTGTAAGGAACTCAAATAACTCCTAAAATAACGTCCTATGATTATAAATGTACCGTTACAACACTATTCCACCCTAATGTGGAAGTACAGTTAAAGGATAAAATCCTCTCAATGCCGTTTCAGTCTGTATTTTAATATACAGGCAAGAAAGCTTGACAGTAAATCCCTTCAGCTTTAAGGATTTACTGATTATTACCTTTTTCATTTCCAACAGAGAACACATGTATGGTGTAAAGAAGTTGAGGTTACTAACTTTGGCCACGAGTCTGACCTCATCTCCATGTGCCAGCGCTGCTCGTCGTCTCGCTGCCTCTTCAGCGACGCCTTCTGCTTCTGCTTCTTCAGCTTGCTCTCCTGCAGCTTCCGGGCCCGATTACTGGGCTTTATCTCCACCGGGAGCTCGGGGTTCACCTTCTTCTGCAGGGAGAGGAGAGGAGAGGAGTGAAGGGAAGGAACCGAGAAGGGAGAGGAGAGAACAAGAGTGAAGGGAAGGAACCGAGAAGGGAGACGGAGAGGAGAGAACAAGAGTGAAGGGAAGGAACCGAGAAGGGAGACGGAGACGAGAGAAGAGAACAAGAGTGAAGGGAAGGAATCGAGAAGGGAGACGGAGAGGAGAAAAGAGAACAAGAGTGAAGGGAAGGAACCGAGAAGGGAGACGGAGAGGAGAAAAGAGAACAAGTGTGAAGGGAAGGAACCGAGAAGGGAGACGGAGAGGAGAAAAGAGAACAAGTGTGAAGGGAAGGAACCGAGAAGGGAGACGGAGAGGAGAGAACAAGAGTGAAGGGAAGGAACCGAGAAGGGAGACGGAGAGGAGAGGAGAGAACAAGAGTGAAGGGAAGGAACCGAGAAGGGAGACGGAGAGGAGAGAACAAGAGTGAAGGGAAGGAACCGAGAAGGGAGACGGAGAGGAGAGAACAAGAGTGAAGGGAAGGAACCGAGAAGGGAGACAGAGAGGAGAGGAGAGAACAAGAGTGAAGGGAAGGAACCGAGAAGAGAGACGGAGAGGAGAGAACAAGAGTGAAGGGAAGGAACCGAGAAGGGAGACGGAGAGGAGAGAACAAGAGTGAAGGGAAAGAACCGAGAAGGGAGACGGAGAGGAGAGGAGAGAACAAGAGTGAAGGGAAGGAACCGAGAAGAGAGAGACGGAGAGGAGAGAACAAGAGTGAAGGGAAGGAACCGAGAAGGGAGACGGAGAGGAGAAAAGAGAACAAGTGTGAAGGGAAGGAACCGAGAAGGGAGACGGAGAGGAGAGAACAAGAGTGAAGGGAAGGAACCGAGAAGGGAGACGGAGAGGAGAGGAGAGAACAAGAGTGAAGGGAAGGAACCGAGAAGGGAGACGGAGAGGAGAAAAGAGAACAAGAGTGAAGGGAAGGAACCGAGAAGGGAGACGGAGAGGAGAAAAGAGAACAAGAGTGAAGGGAAGGAAGGGAGACGGAGAGGAGAGAAGAGAACAAGAGTGAAGGGAAGGAACCGAGAAGGGAGACGGAGAGAAGAAAAGAGAACAAGAGTGAAGGGAAGGAACCGAGAAGGGAGACGGAGAGGAGAAAAGAGAACAAGAGTGAAGGGAAGGAACCGAGAAGGGAGACGGAGAGGAGAAAAGAGAACAAGTGTGAAGGGAAGGAACCGAGAAGGGAGACGGAGAGGAGAGAACAAGAGTGAAGGGAAGGAACCGAGAAGGGAGACGGAGAGGAGAAAACAAGTGTGAAGGGAAGGAACCGAGAAGGGAGACGGAGAGGAGAGAACAAGTGTGAAGGGAAGGAACCGAGAAGGGAGACGGAGAGGAGAAAAGAGAACAAGTGTGAAGGGAAGGAACCGAGAAGGGAGACGGAGAGGAGAAAAGAGAACAAGAGTGAAGGGAAGGAACCGAGAAGGGAGACGGAGAGGAGAAAAGAGAACAAGAGTGAAGGGAAGGAACCGAGAAGGGAGACGGAGAGGAGAAAAGAGAACAAGTGTGAAGGGAAGGAATCGAGAAGGGAGACGGAGAGGAGAAAAGAGAACAAGTGTGAAGGGAAGGAACCGAGAAGGGAGACGGAGAGGAGAAAAGAGAACAAGTGTGAAGGGAAGGAACCGAGAAGGGAACGAGAGTCAGTGCTGAGGAGATCATGCTATATTTGAACAATATATTTTAGGGCCATATCTATAAAAAACATGTCTCTGAAGTGTTTTTCTCAAACAGATCACCCATTGCAGCCTCATCCCCCTCTATTCCAGCCCTGTTACTAAAGTGCTGATTCTGGGTCAGTAGCGAGAAGCAGAAACTCAGCTAAATGCTGCCGTGGTGAAACTCCATATCATGTTCCAAACCACATCAAGGATTATCTCTGAAACAGTACGGAGCTCAAACTCTTTCTCTCTCTCAGGTTTACCACAAGGTGAGTTCCTTTTTACTTCCTGCTTCTTCACACACACTCTCTCCAGTACAGGTTAGCTCTGAGTGTTAGCATGCTAATGTAAACACAGACCATATTACTTCCAGAACACGTCAGGCATTGTTTCTGACAGCAACGTTTCTGATTGGCCCGTGGGTGTAAAGCCCGCCCACATTTGAGTAATGTCGTCATGACGCAGCAAATCTGGATCAGCTCCGATGTTCCCCCGTTTTTAGAGATGTGGGTACGGAGGAAAAGAGAGAGGGTTGTGTTTTCTGACACTTTGTGAGTCTCCTGACACCGGGGACACATAGTGATGTAGAGGAGACATCAGAAAGTGCACTTTGCATGATAGGAGACCTTTAAATGACACTTTGACCTTGTTCTTCACGGCTCTATGTAAAGCCAGTCAGACGGGATCCGTCTCAGATTCTGTTGGGAAAACACTGAACGTCCTCTTCCAACATGAGAGCAACATGATAACAAAGGTATCAACTGTAGCTGTGAACATGACAGGATGTGTGATTACCTAGAAGAGCATCAGGACTGTTTGAGGCAGATGATAGCTATGTGATTAACATGATGATTCAGCCTCTATGGAGAGAGACATCAAGCATGCTCATTTCTGACCTGGAGCTAATCTGAAGTAAACATTGAATACTGCTTTCTATTCCTCCATCTTGTGACTGAGTAACTCCCTCTCTTGGATATCAGCATGTGAAGGACACTGTTCAGGAACTAGTTGATGCTCTGTATGTGATGACTGCTTCCATTCTGGAGAGGATCACAGATACATGGATCCTGAGATTGAAGCTCACGCCGGGAACCAGTGAGATTTTTCTAACAGATACCTTGTACTGCAGTCGGTGCCTCCTTCCCTTCAGGTGCATGTCTTTAGCGTTGGGGTCGTTGAAGCTGCACTCACACAGTTTACAGTGGAAGCGGATCACTTTGCCGTCATCGTTTCGGACCTGAAACACACAGAGAAACGTCAGGTAAAAACACATCACGAGACAGTGAATGCAACACTCCCAATCCTTTACCATGAGACAGGGACACAAAATATATAATATCAAAATGAAATACACTTGATTCAAGATTCAAGGCTTTATCATCATGTGCTCAGCAGCTGCAGAAAAACTGAGCTCACAGGCTCCTCCCACAGAGCAACATGAATATATAGGACATAAAACAAATAGAACGTTGTGAGATGTGCAGGTAAATACAAATAAAATAGAAATAGTGCAAGAACATTTTATATACAAGTGAATGGAATTATATAGGGAGGCGTGTGGCGCAGTGGGTTAGTGTGTTGGGATCAGGGAGCACAGGTTCAAACCCCACTGCAGTCAGCATGTCGTTGTGTCCCTGAGACACTTGCTCCTGTGGAGATTGCCCACAGTATTGAGTATGTTAGTCGCTTTGGATAAAAGCGTCTACGAAGTAATGTAATATATATCTTTTAAACAATGAATGTTTTTGGATGTTCTTTAAAAAGTTCAGGTGTGTAATAGTCTTAGTCTGTTGACTGGTGTCAGCGCCAGAAACACTTTTTAGGAGCAATGCGCTCATGGTATAGATGTGGCGCAAACATCTTAGTCCTACTCTTTTCCCTCAGCCTATCCTAAGGGAGTGCATGTACGTAGACACGCCTCTCCACCTCTGTTCCTTACTTGCTACCCCTTTCCCTCACCTCCTGGGAGAGGGATCCCTCCTCTGTTGCTCTCCCTGAGGTTCCTCCCATTTTTCCCTTCGTGTTCCCACCCTTACTTTGGTGTTCGCGGTCAAATTTGACCGGTCCTGTTTTAACTGGCATTACGTTAACACAACAACCATCAATCATCACCAAATGTCTACTTATAGTAGCCTACTGGTATACATGAAAAACTGCAGTAAATATACAAAGAATAGACACTGAACATGTATTGCGTGTGCCAGGTGTGATCCATAGTGTGTGTGTGTGTGTGTGTGTGTGTGTGTGTGTGTGTGTGTGTGTGTGTGTGTGTGTGTGTGTGTGTGTGTTGTATCTGATCCGGATGATTACTAATTCCTTTTCTTTATGGCGGTAGTTTTGAGCGGGAGCACCATGGTGTTACAAAGTTGACTAAATCATCCAGAATTCAATGGAAGTGTTGATCAGCAATTGTATATGTTCAAATGTCTCCTGTGAAGGATATCATGAAGCCTGAATGCAATTGAATTAAAAACAAAAAAGGTATGATTGATGAACGTAGTAAATCAGTCCGATTTGACCCGAAGACAACAGGAGGGTTAAACTGTGGGTTTTCTCTGGAAGTGTTTCCTTGTACGATGTGAGGGTCTAAGGACAGAGGGTCTAAGGACAGAGGGTCTAAGGACAGAGAGTCTAAGGACAGAAGGTCTAAGGACAGAGGGTCTAAGGACAGAGGGTCTAAGGACAGAGGGTCTAAGGACAGAGAGTCTAAGCACAGAGGGTCTAAGGACAGAGGGTCTAAGGACAGAGGGTCTAAGGACAGAGGATCTGAGGACAGAGGGTCTAAGGACAGAGGGTCTAAGGACAGAGGGTCTAAGGACAGAGAGTCTAAGGACAGAGAGTCTGAGGACAGAGAGTCTGAGGACAGAGGGTCTGAGGACAGAGGGTCTAAGGACAGAGAGTCTAAGCACAGAGGGTCTAAGGACAGAGGGTCTAAGGACAGAGGGTCTAAGGACAGAGGATCTGAGGACAGAGAGTCTGAGGACAGAGAGTCTGAGGACAGAGGGTCTAAGGACAGAGGGTCTAAGGACAGAGAGTCTAAGGACAGAGGGTCTAAGGACAGAGAGTCTGAGGACAGAGGGTCTAAGGACAGAGGGTCTAAGGACAGAGGGTCTAAGGACAGAGGGTCTGAGGACAGAGGGTCTAAGGACAGAGGGTGTCGTTTTGTCATTCTGATATTCTGTACAAACTGAGACAAACGTAACATTTGTGATAATGGGTTATACAATAAGCTCATATTAAGTTATAACCACAACTACTTTGAACATTATCCTATATTTATATTTTGTTAGAAGTATGTTTGTCTATAAAAGTGTATACCATCTTATTCTGTATATCTATATTGCGTATTTGATAGAGATCTTCTATAACATAAATGTTTCTACTGTCAATATGGCGTTTCTTCAATTTTATCCTATGTTTTTATTGTGTTTTTATTGAATATTGTGTTTTTAGCACTTCTTAACACGTGGTCATTTATTCTTTTATGATTCCTATGATGTTTTAATGTGTTGTGACTGTGTCTGTGAAGCGCTTTATAAATAAATGTTACTTACTCTACTATGCTTGTTTTCTGTTTTTAATTCATGTGCAACGCCTTGTTTAAATATTTATCCACAATCTCTCCACTGTTCTTCTCACCTCCTCCACGTAGTCGTGTCCCACAGGCTGGATGTCCCCCTGTCCTCCAGCTCTGTCCCCGTCCTCATCGTCGCTCTGAGGCTCCATCTTCTGAGCTGACACCGGCTCCTCCACCTTAGAAACAACCACAACCGGAGGAGGAGCCACTGGAGCGCTGACCGGCTTATTGGCTGCGTGGCAGGAAGAGATAATGAAGAGAAATTAGGGAATGCATTTAAGGGACGCTAGAGAACTCTTTAGGCTCATCTCAATTGAATATGTCACCTCCTCCTTTCCCTCCCTTGCGTCTTAATTCCTTGCGTCTTAACTAATATATTTGACTCTTAATGAAGCACTTTAAACATGTAATGACTCTGATCCTCCTTTAACGGTTAGATCAGCTGCAGTGAGCAGAGAATGTGCAGCTGGGGGTGGAGCTCTGAGTCAGAACCGCTGCAGTGAGCAGACAGCTGTGAAGGTGGGGGCGGAGCTCTGAGTCAAAACAGCTGCAGTGAGCAGACAGCTGTGAAGGTGGGGGCGGAGCTCTGAGTCAGAACAGCTGCAGTGAGCAGACGCTGTAGAGGGCTGTAGAGCTGGGGGCGGAGCTCTGAGTCAGAACCTGCAGTGAGCAGACAGCTGTGAAGGTGGGGGCGGAGCTCTGAGTCAGAACAGCTGCAGTGAGCAGACAGCTGTGAAGGTGGGGGCGGAGCTCTGAGTCAGAACAGCTGCAGTGAGCAGACGCTGTAGAGGGCTGTAGAGCTGGGGGCGGAGCTCTGAGTCAGAACCGCTGCAGTGAGCAGACCGCTGTAGAGCTGGGGGCGGAGCTCTGATGCGCGAGGAGTGAAAACACTTCCACGTAGTCCGCTCTCGTGTATCCTCCCTTTCGTCTCCTCTGGAAGCCTCCTCCCTCACCAATTCCTCCGTGTGCATTTCAGCGATTGGGACGTTCTTCAACATGGCGTGTCTTGATCGATTTCCGGGTCAAGTCCCAGAGGAGGGGGAGAGAGGAGTCGAGGAGGGACATTGAGAATCTAGTTTAGGTCATTTCTATGTCTAATTCTATTCAAAGTCTGGTGAATAAACATTGAAATATGACAGTTATTTAGGAGGCGGTATACTCCATGAGAGGGTGTAGTATCTTTGGAAAACGCTGACATGAAACCTTAAAGAGGTTTGAGGAGGTAGATATTATTATTATTATTATTATTATCGGTTTGACACTAAGACAAACATCAAACTGTTATTCTGAATTTCACCACTAGGTGTCGCAATTTCTTCGAAACCAACCATTAATCATTCCTTCAGTGTTTATTCATGTCTGATGTAATGATGTAAGTGTAAAGAGAAGGGAACGAGAAGGGAGACGGAGAGGAGAGCAGGACAAGTGTGAAGGGAAGGGAACTAGAACGGAGAGGAGAGCATGACAAGTGTAAAGGGAAGGGAACGAGAAGGGAGACTGAGAGGAGAGCAGGACAAGTGTAAAGGGAAGGGAACGAGAAGGGAGACAGAGAGCAGAGCAGAACAAGTGTAAAGGGAAGGGAACGAGAAGGGAGACTGAGAGGAGAGCAGGACAAGTGTAAAGGGAAGGGAACGAGAAGGGAGACTGAGAGGAGAGCAGGACAAGTGTAAAGGGAAGGGAACGAGAAGGGAATGAGAAGGGAGACAGAGAGGAGAGCAGGACAAGTGTGAAGGGAAGGGAACGAGAAGGGAGAGCAGGACAAGTGTAAAGGGAAGGGAACTAGAATGGCGAGGAGAGCAGGACAAGTGTAAAGGGAACGAGAAGGGAGACAGAGAGGAGAGCAGAACAAGTGTGAAGGGAAGGGAACGAGAAGGGAGAGCAGGATAAATGTAAAGGGAAGGGAACTAGAATGGCGAGGAGAGCAGGACAAGTGTAAAGGGAACGAGAAGGGAGACAGAGAGGAGAGCAGAACAAGTGTAAAGGGAAGGGAACGAGAAGGGAGACTGAGAGGAGAGCAGGATAAATGTAAAGGGAAGGGAACAAGAAGGGAGACGGAGAGGAGAGCAGGACAAGTGTGAAGGGAAGGGAACGAGAAGGGAACGAGAAGGGAGACAGAGAGGAGAGCAGGACAAGTGTAAAGGGAAGGGAACGAGAAGGGAGACAGAGAGGAGAGCAGGACAAGTGTAAAGGGAAGGGAACGAGAAGGGAGACGGAGAGGAGAGCAGGACAAGTGTAAAGGGAAGGGAACGAGAAGGGACACAGATAGGAGAGCAGGACAAGTGAACGAGAAGGGAACGAGAAGAGAACGAGAAGAGAACGAGAAGAGAACGAGAGTAATGTAATGATGCTTGATGCAGAGGTAGTAAGTAACAGAGTACATTTACTCAAGTAAAGTACTTGAGTATAATTCTATATCGCGCTTTTCTAAAAACTCAAAGACGCTTGGACAGAGAATAAAACTAAAAACGAAGAAAAATACAGAAAGAGACAAACCAAAACAGACTCACAGATGACAGTTATTTTGGAGGGAGCTGGCCTCTTGACAGGCGCTGCTGCGGTGGCTTTGGCTGCCAGCTGTCTGGGGGGGGCAGGGTGGGCAGCAGCAGTGGAGACCGGGGCAACAGAGGCTGTGGAGACGGGGGGTTTCCCAGCTGTCGAGGTGCTGAGAACTGGAGCTGAATTCACCAGCACCGGCTCAGTGGAGGGGATGGGTTTGCCCAGCTTGGTGTGAAGTTTCACCACCTACAGAGACGGGAGGAGACACACACTTTAAAGCCGAGGGAACTTAACCCCAGCACAGCAGCACAGCAGCACTACATCACCATCAGGTCGCATTATGGGCGGTTTTGGCGCAGTGGTTAGAGCGTTGGTCATCAGATCAAGGGGCGTTGGTGAACTCCAGTTCGAATCCCGTCTCAGCCGCCACTGCGTCAGGCCGTTGTGTCCGCCGTAATGACTCTTACATGTCTAATATGTGTAATGTGTAATTGTAAAGCGCTTTGAGCACCTGTAAAAGCGCTCTAATAAAAAATGTAATGCATTATTATTATTATTATTAGGGATGGGAATGAGGCATCGAAGATTCAAAATGATTCAGGAATTCGAATATGAGTTATGAATATTTGTATATTAAATTATGATGGAGGTTGATTACATATTATCAAATGGATTAATTAAATGTATACGACAGTGCCATATTAAATATCTTAAAAAGGGACCTATCATGTAGGGATGGGTATCGTTTGAAATTTATCGATTCCGATTCTTATCGATTGCCCGTTTCGATTTCAAAATTGTAAAAGAAAGAGGTCAAACGTTTAGATAACAAAAATATCTTTATTCTTTTAAGCTTTAACTGACGTTTTTACAAATAAAAAATATACATGCAATACAAATGTATTGCACAATAGCTGTGCTTTATTTTAACTGAGCTATGCCTGTGGCCAGCTATTAGCAGGCATTACACTGTGCCTTGTCTTTTTCTTTCTTAGTGTAGGAGCCTCACTTCAGAGCGTTTACCGCGACCTATCTTTGGTGTTAAGTGACTGAGCTCGTGAACTGTCTACGGGAGGGCGGGGGAGCCTCGCTGCGGGGCGACTGTGGACCTCTGTCGCCTGTCAGCGCAACTTACATGATGCCGTTTAAAAAAATGAAGGGCGGTGCCGGCCGTCAGCGAACCGAGCCGGCCGTCAACGACCCGGCCGTCAACGACCCGCTGACGACCGGCCGTTCTGTGATTCTCCAGAACACACAGATGGCCAGTCCGCCCTGTATTCCACCGGGTCGCCGCGGCGCAGACGGACCCGGTGGAATACAGGGTCAACCGTGTTTAGGAACCGTTAAGCAGAACCGAAATTGTGTATTTTGTACGGGTACCCGGAATTTTCTTATCGGTTCTCACCTGGAACCGAGTTTCGGTTCCCAACCCTATGCAAAAGTCACTTTTTGATGTCTTTTATACGTAAGTATGTGTCCCCAGTGCGTCGGGGAACTCACGCAGCGTCAGAAAATAAACCCCTCTCTCTTTTCCTCCGTACCCAAATCTCTAAAAACGGGGAACAACGGAATTGATCCAGATTTGCGTCGGATATGACGTCATATCTGAAATGTAGGCTGGCTTTACGCCCACGGCCCTGCTGTGTGGCGCTACCTAAACCCTCCTGTTCTCTGGATGACAGCTTGCGCCTCGAGGGTACATTTCTGATGAGGACATGCTGCTTTTATTCTTAACACAATTCAGTTTCATTTTTGTGTTGCTTTTGATATTTGTATTCCTATTTTTGATACACGCTCTGATTTAACAACTGTTGTGAAATATAATCAACAATGTTTAAAAATGTAATAAATCTACCATTAAACTACTTTGCACACTTTAATATGTATATATACTATCTATGGTTATAGTATATTTAGCAGTAGGTTGGTCTATCTTAGTGTATTTCATACTGTGTGCTTTTATACTGTGTACACAAATAAATGTATATTTTTATTGTTAATATGTATTTAATCATTTTTTCTCTTTTCAGTTTCATGTGCAATGCCTTGTTTACATGCTGCTTGATCCGGATTAAACTACGATAATATAGCACATCTAACCTAGTCTACTAACACTTGGTTGTCCTCACGTTAAGTAATGATATATTGTAAATAAATATACTGTTTGTTCATTTGAAACTCCTCCCCTCTGCCTTCTTTCTTGCAGTCTTTGCAGCGTTACCTTCTGGTGTTTGGCTCCTCGGATGTGAGCAGCGTACGCGTCCACGCCGGTGCAGGCCACGTCACACAGCTCGCAGCGTAACTGAGTCTGAACGCCTCGGGGTCCGGTGCTTCCCCCCGTCTGACCCCCAGACTTCAGAGCGGCCTCCTTCTTCTTATGCTTCTGACCCTCCAGGTGCTCCCGATACGTCTGAAGCAGGAAATCACAGTCAAAGGTTGAAGCGTCAAAATGCATATAAAGATAAATATCAGCATGTGAGAATATCCACTCCAGGGTTCCTGCAGGTTTCACCAACTCAAATGTAAGACTTTTTACGACCACTTTGAATACAATTTAAGACCCATTTCACGGCAAGAAAGTATGAAGGAAAATTGCTATGGAAGAAGAAATACGTCCCATAATTACTTACAAAGTAAATGTATTCATGTTCAACATAAGAACGATGACTGAACATAACAGTACACTAGGGATGTGCATCTCCATCACTGAGGCCGATGCGATGCGCATCTCGATACGTTGCCACGATACGATACATTAACGATACATTTGAAACACCAGGCGATGCGATACGATACGATTCACCCCTGTTGCGATACAGTTCGATACGATTTGATTCAACATTATGTGATTTGGTGCGATACGATGCGATTCAACACGATGCAAAAATAATGATACTTCAATTTGGTACGACAGAGGATTTTTGTTTTATTCCTTATATGCAGCAAATCATACATTAACAAAAAAGTGCTTTATATATTTGGTACTGCACATCCCATCATGCCGTTTATTTTTTTTACCTTTAAAAGCTCTCCAGAGTACAATTCTATAACACCTCACAGTCCACATCCAACAATGTAAGGATGCATTGCTCATGATTAACAATGTGAAAATAACAGCTACCATAGAGCAATGCCCATACAGCTGCCAGCCTGATGTGCTTAACACTCATTCATAGGCTAACTCACCAGTGAGCAGAAAGCGGTGGGTTCTATATGAACAATAAAGAACACAAATAACCTTTCACAAACAGGTATTTCATAACTGCTTACAGTAAGGAAGACATTTACATTATTATTGGCCGTCACAGGCTGCTGTAAACTAAACACCACTCTCTCTGACAGAACACCTCACTGAGTGATTTAACTCGTATGTCTAACTTTCAGGTTTATCTTTTCAGCCGCAGACCCCATGTCGCCTCTTTATGTGCGTCGCTAAGTTCCTCATACTACTTGTGTACTTTAAAGCGGCTCGGCATCGTTAACAATTTGCGAGCGATTTTTCAAGTTGACCGTCTGTAGTATATAGTGCCGCACACATATACCATCAGGACGTTACTGATGGGGTGCGGCTGCGGAGTGATACTGTGTGTATGCAAGCCCGCATCTAGGACGGATCTATGTATCATGGCTGTAGACCTGTTAAGTAATAAAGATACCTCATACAAAGGTCTACGGATACCTTATTACTCTCCATGACCTGCGGTCAACTATATAGCATAAAGGACTATTACACCGTCTTTCTTGAACAATCCGAAGTGTTGCCAAACGTTTGATTTGTAGGTATTTTTCGGTGCGCTGTGTTTCTCTTTCTCCTCGACTTCCGTGTGTGTTGATAACTGAGACTCTCGGCCTCCGTAGTGGCAAAGCAAATATCAAAGATCGTCTCTGCTGAGCGTTGACAAGATGAGGGGATTTTATATGAATGAATCGGTTTTTTACCGATGCAAAGACGCTACGCCATCGATGCATCGCGAGTTCAACCCGGTTCAACCCAAACTGTAGCCGATGTGCACTCTTTCAACCGGTGCACTCGCATCTTGAACGTTTATGCCGGTGCACCGATGCGAATCGGTGAATCTTAACATCTCTACAGTACACAGAACTGTGTTAGCCAAAAAGTGTGTGCGTGTGTGTGTGTGTGTGTGTGTGTGTGTGTGTGTGTGTGTGTGTGTGTTAGAGCTATAGTCAGAGCCCTGCTGTCTTCATGCTGTTGTATGATTGGTGTTCAACTACGGTATTTAGCGTGCACAGCACCTCCGCTTCTAGGGTTGACGTGGACCCAAACGTCGCCCGGAGGTCCCCGGTGTTGTTGCGGTGAAAATATTCGAACCAGCTGTAACAGGAATGCACGGGTTGGGCTCTGGTCTGCTTTAAACTCACGGTGGGAGCTGCAGAGAAATCTCAGTGGGAGACGAGGCTGTGCTAAAAACTTTTAAAACTGAAAACTGCATCTTGAACCGCTGGCTACTCTCTGAGTGTCAGTTCGCTTGATTTGACATGCAGTGACGTTTTCTATGAGCATTTAAAAAAAGGTCAATTTCACATGCCATCATCCTCATTTAGTTTTTAAGAAGCAGAAATGGTGATTGAACAACATGGATGAGAGTTCAGCAACGCCTTGTGCATAATATTGCACCTTAAAGAGCCTGACAGCCTCCCAACAACTGTTGTGCAATGAAATATTGGGCTACTAGTCATCTCGAACCGTCAGTTTAAAAAAGAAGGTGCGATACCGTTCCGTTAAATATCAATAATTTCGAACATCGCGGGGAAATTCCTTCGACTCATTTTGAAGTTTTGGGGGAAGCCGGAAGTGACGTCAATGCGGGAATGCTACACTGTGCGGCGAGAGAGCCAAACACGGACAAAGTGTGTCGTAGAAATGGTGAATTACTGAGTTTAGGCACGTTAATAACGTTGTAATTAAGTTGACTACAGTATATTCATATTTCTCAGTGATTTCATGTCAATTCGGCGAACACAAACATACATGATCGTGGTGAAGATGATGATTACATTAGGATTAAAATCGGAGCTGCTGAATTTCCTCCCGTAGGATGTGATATAAAAACAAATTGATTATTTTTGTAGTTGTAAACTCAAGTGGATGAAACTACATTTATTAGTGCTTTCATGTCAATTCGGCGAACATATGATACATTAAATGATCGTGAGGATGATGATTAAAAATCGTTTGTTTGAGCCGGTCTGCATTTCCTGATGAGAACACAAACCGATGCTTTTTGTAGTTGTAGTACACCAACGTGGATTAAACGTGTGTTTTTTTCACCACAATGTTGGGGAAATTAATGGATAAAATGCACGGATTATTATTATTATTATTCCCACTCCGATCGGGACACCAGGTCCACCGTTTCCCCCAGCGAGGCTCCCCCCGTTGACAGTTTACGTGGGCTGGGTGCAGTGGCGGACTGGCCATCGGGACCAATCCCGATGGGCCGGTACCGAAGTGGGCCGGTCGGATAAGTCACTAGCACACCCCCCACTCCCCCCGTTGACAATTTACTAGCGGTACCGAAGTGGGCCGGTCGAGAGTCCCGGGCTGATTTTTAGTCCCAGTCCACCATGGGCTACATGACCGTATGATCGCCCATATTGACGCACCTAATTCCTAAACTTCTAACAGATACAACATAAACCGATCCTTCAGCTTCATATGAGCTCTCAGACACGTTCAACATTAAACTGTCATCGCTGTCTGAGCTTGCTGCTGTGTGCGCCATCGTGCGTTTACATGCAGATGCTGGGATCCTGAACGGTGCAGCTGGAGCGCTGTGCCCGCAATGACGTCACACATCATTTGGCGGGACTTGAAGAATCCCCGAGAAGATCCAGGAAATGGTCAACATTGAAGGGCAGATTAATGGTTATCAAAGTACAAATATCCAAAATCAGTTCAGTAACGGTTTTCAAGGGGACAATATTTACTCAAATGTATGGGTTTGGATGATGGGGGAAACTCGTGTCACAGGCTCTTTAAGGCAGTTCAAACAAAGCAACAAAAAACACCTTGACACACAGAAACTAATCTGCTCCACTCCTTGTGATCGTTTTTAAAAACTGCTTTCCATTTGAGAGCAATAATCTGCTGGGCTAGAACCGAGAAGCGTACATGTAAAAGGGTTTTGTTGAAGGCTGGAGCGAAATCAGGTTGAGCAATAACAGTCGAGTACAGAGAACCGTAGAAAGTAGTTAGAAGCAGTAGAGCTGACAACGCAGAGGGACTTGAACAAACCGTAATCGCTTTCATTGCCTGTTTTGAAGCGCAGCACACTGCTTCAGAGGCATAAGCCATTTTTCATACCGGCTGTCAGGTGTATTCAATCCATAGGCTACACAAGCTGTTATATCAGACTATCACATTAAGAGCATATTGAAAAACACACTGGTAAAATATGCCAGGAGAAAACGGCTTATGCCAAAATGATAGGAACAAGTAGTCAGGATAATGACACTGGCTTCGGTGGCTAAGCTAACATCAGCTATGTCATACCAGAGGAACTTTATTTATGGCACTATCTTGACAAACATTGTCTATTAAAAATGAACACATTAATTTATGGGGGATCTGCATCAGGTAGCGTTGCTTGTGCGAAAGTCAAAATGTGTATTATTGCTATCCAGCAGCCACTTCTTAGCACTCGGTAGGCTAATTGTTCCTGTTGTTATTTACGCTGGAATATCAGCTACGTAAATGGTGACGTCACGACCTGGCTCCACTCGAGATCTTGGTGTTGGGAAACCAAACCGGTTGGCAAAAGTTTAACCGACGGCAAAACACACTGGCAGCAGTACAGAAACTAAAACGGAAAGCAGGTTAAAACTCGGGCCTTGGACTCGGGTCTACAAGTATATGGTAAAATACTTCATGCAAAAGTACTATTGAAATTTGAAGTGATGTACCTGGGGAAAGTAGACTTGGATATAATGGATAATGACAATAACTACATTTTTAAGGGTGGCAACTAAAAAATGTATAACGAGGAAGTGGACGAGCCAAGAGGTTCCGACGGAGGGAGAGTGGATGGACGTGATTCATGAGATATATGTAATGGAAAAGTTGACATGTGCAATGAGACTACAGAGTGAACAGTTTGAGACTAGGTGGAAGGGATGGAGGGATTTGGTGAATATTTAGTTTAGCTTAAAATAGGAGGATTGACTGGACTGTTAAAGAGCTCTTGCCTGCGAGCAAGAGATAAATAGCCCTGATGTGATGTCTTTTGGTTCTTATTTGTCTTTGTTATTTTTGCATACGTCTATTTTTCTGCGACTGTTGTTCCTGTTTGTTAACCTGTAAAGAAAGCAAAATAAAAAGATAATGAAAACAAAAGATGCGGGCCTTTGCACACGTCACCCCTCTATCTTCCCTTTTAGCACCGTCACTCTTAGATAAAAGCTAAAACTGACTTATTAGATTCTAGTAGGGGTGTAACGGTACCCGTACCGAATAATTTCGGTACGGGCCCTTCGGTTCGGTACAGGTGTGTACCGAAGTGTACCGAACGAATATAACGTTAAACGTAAAAAATTGAGAATGTGAACAACTTTTTGGAAGTAATCTCAGGTGCTGCGTCGCATTCAGAGTAATTTGCTCACATTGGGTTCAACGCGTCATAGAGCGAGCAAGTCATTTCATTGGATGAGAGGCATTCTATGAGAGCTGGTCAGAGGGATGCGTTCAAATGTAGTCAGCAATTTGAGGAACTGTCGAAAATTAATGGCGAACGCAGATAAAGTTGAGCTGGAAAATCCTCCAGCATCATTGAAGTCTCCGGTTTGGGAACATTTTGGTTTCGCAGTTACGAACAAGGATGACGGACAAAGACAGGTGGACCGAACCAAAGCTGTTTGTCGGCATTGTTCAACTAACATTGGTTACGCGGCTGGCAATACATCAAACGTGCACACTCTTGAAAAGGCATCACCCGAACGTGAATATCACCGGTACCAAAAGAAAAAAGACTGAAGTGCAAACCCAACTCCCACTAGCATGTACGCCTCCACCACTCGCAGAGAGTTCAGACCGAGCCAAAGCTATTACAAACGCCAAATATCCTTATGCTGCCATGTTAGCAAAGCGCTACCTGGCTGTATCTGCTACCTCTGTCCCTAGAGAGGGTGTTCTCCACAGCAGGAGACATTGTTAGTGCCAGCAGATCTGCCCTTTCAGCAAGCAATGTGGACAAGTTCATCTTTCTTTAGAACAACATGAAAATAGAATGACAAGCAAGTCCTAATGTCAAACTGGCTGCTTAGGTGCTAGTACAGTACAGTTTCAAATACAGATTATTTCAGTTCATCGAAAAGCTGCACCTTAATGTTTATTTTATTATATTTTGTATTTATTTGAGTGAATACATTATTCACAGTTTAATAATAATAAAAAATATATATATATATATGTTTTGTGAAAAAAAATTCTGCTGTACTGCAAACGTACCGAAACGAACCGTGACCCAAAAACCGAGGTACGTACCGAACCGAAATGTTTGTGAACCGTTACACCCCTAGATTCTAGGTATGTCTTCTTAATACTGTAATGTGGTACCTGGGGTCCTGCACAGCTGATCTTGCAGATGTCGCAGTAGTGGAGCTGGGGCTGCTTGGGCGGGCCTTTGGGCTTCTGCAGCTTGCTCTGGCTCAGGTGGTAGTTCAGAGGCTTCTTGTAGGTGTTGACGGTCGGAGCCGTCACCATGTTGCTGCCCGAGTTGCTCCAGGAAGAGCTGGTCAGCTGTTTGTGAGGCGCCTGCAGGGGGGGCTGCTGCTGCTGCTGCTGGGGAGGGGGCTGCGGCTGGGAGAGCGTCTGCTGGGCCGGCTGGTAGTAGGAGGGGGTCGAGGTGGAGGTGTAGCCGCTGGAGTCATAGCTGGAGTAGCTAATGCCTGAGAGGGAGGGAGAAAAGCATACACTGATCTGTACATGTGTATACGTTATTACAGGATTATTTCTACTTCACAGGACCTAACTCGTCATAGATTTGTTCCTATCTTGCAACTTTCTTGTATCGTGTCGTTGTAAGTATGTCGTCTTTTGCATTGTTAGAGCCAGAGACTTCAGATTTTCATTGCCAACAACAACAACGCTGTAGCTTTTGTGTTTTTCATTTCGCAGCTGTTTTCAATTACTGTTAACCGTCAGAAATGCAATGTTATCCTTTTGATTTGTCATTCTCCTGTACAGTGGTAAGTTATATAAAACACACAAATGATTAGGAACTAAATGAATGCATTTGTCTTTAAATATTTGCTATGATTATGATCAGACTTCAGGTCAAAGTAAAGAGCTTTATATGGAATGTGTGCAGATTCACAGATAGTACAAGGCCTGAAAACAGTTCATACTATTTAACAAATAATATATACGCATTTCCCTGGGACAAAAGAGAATACATTGGCATCGGCTGAGAAATGTGACGATGCATCCCTAGTTCATCAGAATTCAGTATAGAATGTTACTAATGTATGCATATGGAGCATGTTGGTCACAAATGTTTCCTCAAGGAAGAATTAAAGCTCATCTGATCTCTGGTCTGATCTCTGGTCTGATCTCTGGTCTGATCTCTGGTCTGATCTGTGGTCTGATCTGTGGTCTGATCTGTGGTCTGATCTGTGGTCTGATCTGTGGTCTGATCTCTGGTCTGATCTCTGGTCTGATCTCTGGTCTGATCTCTGGTCTGATCTGTGGTCTGATCTGTGGTCTGATCTCTGGTCTGATCTGTGGTCTGATCTCTGGTCTGATCTCTGGTCTGATCTGTGGTCTGATCTCTGGTCTGATCTCTGGTCTGATCTCTGGTCTGATCTCTGGTCTGATCTCTGGTCTGATCTCTGGTCTGATCTCTGGTCTGATCTGTGGTCTGATCTCTGGTCTGATCTCTGGTCTGATCTGTGGTCTGATCTCTGGTCTGATCTGTGGTCTGATCTGTGGTCTGATCTCTGGTCTGATCTGTGGTCTGATCTGTGGTCTGATCTGTGGTCTGATCTCTGGTCTGATCTCTGGTCTGATCTGTGGTCTGATCTCTGGTCTGATCTCTGATCTGTGGTCTGATCTCTGGTCTGATCTCTGGTCTGATCTCTGGTCTGATCTCTGGTCTGATCTCTGGTCTGATCTCTGGTCTGATCTCTGGTCTGATCTCTGGTCTGTGGTCTGATCTCTGGTCTGATCTCTGGTCTGGTCTGTGGTCTGATCTCTGGTCTGATCTCTGGTCTGATCTGTGGTCTGATCTGTGGTCTGATCTGTGGTCTGATCTGTGGTCTGATCTGTGGTCTGATCTGTGGTCTGATCTGTGGTCTGATCTGTGGTCTGATCTGTGGTCTGATCTCTGGTCTGATCTGTGGTCTGATCTGTGGTCTGATCTCTGGTCTGATCTCTGGTCTGATCTCTGGTCTGATCTCTGGTCTGATCTCTGGTCTGATCTCTGGTCTGATCTCTGGTCTGATCTCTGGTCTGATCTCTGGTCTGATCTCTGGTCTGATCTCTGGTCTGATCTGTGGTCTGATCTGTGGTCTGATCTGTGGTCTGATCTGTGGTCTGATCTCTGGTCTGATCTCTGGTCTGATCTCTGGTCTGATCTCTGGTCTGATCTGTGGTCTGATCTCTGGTCTGATCTGTGGTCTGATCTGTGGTCTGATCTCTGGTCTGATCTGTGGTCTGATCTGTGGTCTGATCTGTGGTCTGATCTGTGGTCTGATCTGTGGTCTGATCTCTGGTCTGATCTCTGGTCTGATGAGTGCTCTGGAGTTACCTGAGTAGGTGGTGGCGGCCACAGTGGAGGGGAAGGAGGAGCCCAGGGTGTAGGAGGAGATGGGGGTGGGCGGCTGCTGCACGCTGGTGGAGACGGGGTAGATGTTGTAGCTGGTAGAGACCGACGGGGCCAGTGGCTTTAGGGCCGTCACCTGCCTTTGAGGAGGGGGCGGCTGGCTGTACACCGAGGAGGGGGCCGGACTGTAGGCGCTCTTTACTCCCACTGGAGAGGGAGAATATATTTATGTTGCATTGTTGGAGGAGTCTGTGACTTTTCATTGCATATCTACGCTGTGCAACACACACTCACAATAACACTCCTTGTTGTTAACCACCAACTACAGTATGTGCAATATAAATATATATGCCATTAATAACTGTGCAATATATACCTGGCTGCTAAATTGAACTGATTCTGATTCTAATTCTGAATAAAGCTCCTTGAACATTAAAGGTGGAGAGGAAGGGCATTAGAGAGCAACAGAGATCTGATCCATGCGATGCTTCCTCTGGGACTGTCAGAGAGTTTTGGCAGCACAGGAAGTATCTTCATTTCAGAGCAAATGAGCAGCAGGACACATTTTACATTCTGTGTCTCATATATCAGCCTGCAGGAGGGAATACAGGGAAATAATACCAGAGGACAGACGACCCACAAACACACCGGCAACACTGAGCAGTCGGGATTAATTAGATCTGATATTTAAGATAACAACAACAATTAAATCCCACACAACCACAGATTTAAGACAAACTACATCTTCTAACTGTAAACAAGAATTCAGGCCTAATATATAATCTATTCCCTCTCTAAAGTGTGTCATATAATGTACAGAGGAGGCCAGGGCAGCACGTCAATGTTGACATCACGATTGCTCATTCACAGTGGCGAGCCGTGACTTTTATACCTAGGCCCTTTGACCCCCCCTCCCTCGAGAAAAAAAAGAAGAGTTATTACGTCACAGCGTATACTTCAGCGGAATATCAAAACAGTGGTCCGGGGTGCAAAACGCATCAATGACAGCGACCCTCTACCACACAAAACAACATCATTTATATAAACACCTATCATGACAGGGCACCCACAGCCAAGTAGCAATTACAAATGAATTAAGTCGGCACGGCGGCCCGCATTGAAAATGACTTAGGCCTACCTTTGATGATCAAATCACTGAAACACAAAGTCCATCCTCCTGTCCTTTTGGATGAAGCACTTGATGGCGGGTCATGCAGCTGATCCTTTGCCACTCCAGTTTATCATTGTAACTCAATCTTGAAAATGACTCGATTAATAATTTCGCAACGATGTCATCACTATCACTGAAGTGAGCCATCATGAACGAACTTATGCTAATCATAAATCTATCGATCATAAATCTATCGATTAGATTTATGATTCAAAAATAATAAAAGTAGGGATAGACATGTGGATATTATCCGACTGAACACAACGTGCATTTATCTAACAGGTTCGTTTTCCACAGACCTTATTTCCAGCTATTTTCCAAAATCCTGTGGAGAAATCTCACTGCTTTCTGTCGAGGGAATCCGAGCGCAGCTTACTTCCGGGTTTTAGGACGCGTCACTGCACCACTTGCATAGACCTCACAGCGGGCGGAACTTGTCATAAAGTCCGCGAAAATAAAGCCCGCCCATTTAGAGGGAAGATATGATTGGTCAATTGTACTGTCATTTGACATTACTCTCTCATCAACAAAAAAATATTAAAAAAAATATAAAAAATTAAATAAAATTTTTTTAATGTTTTTTTTAATATCTTAGGCCCTCGCAGAGGGCATAGAGGCCCTGACGGCTCGCCACTGCTCATTCATTTTAATTAAAGAAACAACTTTATTGCACTCGTTTTAATTCCCCGCTGTGCTACAATCCTGTTAATGTAGAAATTAGGGTTTCAAATGAGCCTGTCTGAGTGTCAGTTCACGGAGCGCTTGATTTGATATGCAGTGCACATTTTCTATGAGCATTTTAAATGTCAATTTCACATGCCATCATGTTCATTTAGTTTATAAGCAGCAAAAATCGTGATTGAACAACATGACTGAGATTTCAGCAACGCCTTGTGCTTAATATTGCAACTTAAGGCAGTCAAAAAAAGGGGCTAAAAACGAGAAGAACACACTTAGACACGGACAAACAAATCTGCTCCACTCCTTGTGATCCTTTGACCATTTATTCCAAACACAGGCTACAATAAACACTATAATCCAGTTGCATGAGTGCGATGCGATGGGGATTGTGGTTAAAAATGGCGATAAAAGTCGTAGTAGAAACTGCTGTCAACAGAAAGTCTAGCTTCCTGACTCACCCCCCTCTCTCTGTCCATGCAAAACCACCAGGTGAGCAGGTGGATGTAGTTAAACCATCACTAAATCCGTCCAAAGCTCCACCAGGTGAGCGAGAAATACCAAATAATTTAAAAAAACACCTCGAGACCTTAAGACAGGGGTGTCAAACTCAAGGCCCGGGGGCCAAATCCGGCCCGCGACTTCATTTCATGTGGCCCCATAAGAGCTTGCAAAGAATATAATATGTTTATTATACGGTTACATGCTACTTTACAGAAACACGTTGCCCATAAACTACATGTCCCACAATGCATCTCAAAGTTGACTTTTTTTCTCAGAATTAGATTTTTTTTCCAGAATGTGGCTTTTCTTTTTAAATCATGTTGTAACATTCTCACTGAAGAGACTTGCAATGATTTGCCCTAGACTTCTGCTTTCAGACGTAGTTAATTATGAAGTTATTACCCTATCCGATAATAATCCAATGCAGAGGCAATAATGTGATATTATACATTATTTTATATATGTTAAATATTTGTATATGTATTTTTATATAGTCTTAAAGTTACAACCGGCCCTTTGAGTGCAGCCATAATGCTGATGTGGCCCGTGATGAAATTGAGTTTGACCCCCCTGCCTTAAGACATAAGCTATGTTTTTAATGCTCCCTTTAAATCACAAAAGGCATTAACCTGTTAAGCCCTGAGCCTGTTTTCCAGGTCTCAGGCTCGAAAATGAAATTTCCAGAACAAATGACCATATCTTCATTTCTAAAAAGGGGAACATTAATAATCTTTTTTCTCAAAGCAATGATAAACCTGTGAGTTGGATGTAGACCAGTCAGGGACTCTCCCGGTCTCTCAGTCGCGACCCTCTCGAAACGGGTCCGCGACCCACTTTTAGGTCGCGACCCACCAGTTGAGAACCACTGTATAGACGGTATTTTGCCAGGGTATGATTATAGGTGTGCCTTGGCCAACAAAAGTTTGAAAACGAGTGCTCTTGACATTAAAAAGGACAAAGTGACTCACCAGTCTGGTAGTAGTTGTCTGTGTGCGTCCTCTGAGCGGCAGGAATACTCGTCTGGTAGTACTGCTTGTTGTCGTAGGTCGTGACGGCGGCAGGACGCCCGTAGCTGTAGTTGTCCTGCTGGGGATCACAGATAATACGATGAGAAGAATACTAAAGAAGATAGCTGCAGCACAGATATCAGATTACTGCATTAAAGCCACTCAGTGAACAATTCAAGCGTCCTTTAAATGCTGATGTTATGGAACAATAAGACAATCTCAGAGAGTACGGCTGCAACTAGAGATTTTTTATTATTATATATATTTAATTTGTCAAATAATAATGTGCCATAACAGATAAATAATTGTATATAAACACAAGAAGGTCAAGTGAAAATGTAAGCACTGTACTGCTTTTTAATATGCGCTTTGGATATATTTTGGATTAGTTGTGCAGCCCTTTCAAAACAGAAGCTTCTGTGAGATCTGATATGAGCACATCATGCTATGAGAAACTGAGGAGATAAGATAAGAAGTAGTTTATTGATCCCAAGTTGTGAAATGTTTGTGTTGCAGCAGCATAAAAAGACATGGCATTGTACAATACAATTAAAAGGACTAGAAATAAAGGAATGAAGCAGGAAGACACTGACCGTGTCGGGGTAGACCTGGTATGTCTGCGGGGTGGTGGTGGGCTGCGGGGGGGCAGGGGGCTCTGGCTGCCTGTAGGCATACTCGGGGGGGGCCTGGTGGGTCTGGTAGGTCGGGTACGGAGCCGTGACCACCGGCCGGGCCGCCTGCACCGGGGCCGGAGAGTAGGAGGCCGTCACTGCATGAGCCACAGCAGGGGGCTGCTGCACGCTGTAGGCCGGGGAGGGGTGGGAGTACGCTGGGGGGGGCTGAGTACTGAGGGAGGGGACAGAGGGAGAGAAATTACTTATTTTTTTATTCTACTATTTCAACAATTAGACAGTTTAAACATCCCAAAAAGAAAAACAAATTGAAACAGTGATGAGCGGGCCCTCGCCTCTTAGTCGACGCATATATGTCCTCTACAATGAGCCGTTTCTCATGTCTCTAATTTTAGCCTCCTCGACTCCCCGGTGCTCCGGTAGTGACCCGGAAATCGATGTCAGCGCGCCATGTTGAAGGAAAAAATGTTTTCTCTAACTGCACATCGAGGATCGAGCATCGAGGAAGCTCTCTGGAGGAGCTATAACCAAGGATACACTGATGTAGAGGAGAGAGGAAAGGAGGCTCTCTGGAGGAGCTATAACCGAGGATACACTGATGTAGAGGAGAGAGGAGAGAGGAGAGGAGGCTCTCTGGAGGAGCTATAACCGAGGATACACTGATGTAGAGGAGAGAGGAGAGAGGAGAGGAGGCTCTCTGGAGGAGCTATAACCGAGGATACACTGATGTAGAGGAGAGAGGAGAGGAGACATAACCTAGGGCAGTGGTTCTCCACTGGTCAGGCCTCGGGACCCACTTTTTCCTTAGTCAATAGATCGCGACCCGAAATTTTGAACCACTTAAATCTATTCAACAAAAAATCGTGCTGTAATATCTACGCTTTTCAGCGTACAATATTAATGAAAGTGAAGTACAGTGCATATCTCCCTTATATCCCTTCACAGAACTAAAGTATGCTTTTAAATAAGGTTTAATGAGATGATGGAATCAAAGCTGAACTGTATAACATAAAAAGGCACACGTGCTGAAAACCCAACCCCAGCAGGGGGTCTGGGGGATTCTCCCCCAGGAGATTTATAAAAATACTAACATATAAACTACGCATTCTGGTACTCTGAGGAGAAAATAAATAAATCTATTACTACCCGACATATTAATAATATTTGATGCCATTGTTTGTATTTTCACTTTGTTCTGACATCTTGCTGCTCCTCACAGAGAGAAGAGCAAAGAGGAGATAGTCTGTGTGAATGACTTTAAATTGTGGGTAAGGGTAGATAGCCCCCATTGTTCTGTGACCTGTCAATCATCAAACTGGGGGTCATATTTGATTATGTGTTCATTGTTATCTGAAGTTGTACACATGGATGTATAAAGAGTAGTTCTACTGCAAAGTTATTCTCCATGGGGACTTCCGGCAACAATCTTGATTCTGATTGGCCAGAAGACTCGAAAAAAACATCAGCAAAGATATTTTATTGAGAAGATGATCACTACGTGACAGAAGTTTTCAAAACCGTTCATGGTCTCCGGTAGGGCTGCACGGTATTGAAAAAAACTGACATCGCGGTTTTCCCCCCCCTGCGGTATATATCGCGTTTTTTTTAACCTGTTAAACCCCAAAGTCCCGGCGGGTACTTTACTTTTTTTTTTTTCACGATACTGTGTCTCAGGGGATCGTAATATTTAAGAACCTATTAATGTGTTATACCAGATTAACGGAAATAATCTCAGCTAACTGACGATACAAACTATTTTATACCAAAACAAAACACAAGTCTCATAAGAAGCATCTAAATGACCCGAGCGAAAAATGCTAACGCACTTTGGCACAGAACTCAAGATAAAAGTACCCTTATTACTTATCGTAGCTGCACTTACAAGATATCCGATTAAAGCTGAGACTCCACAGATTATTTAGGTATATAGTATCATCACTGAGTGATCTGAACTCGGACAGGGGAAGCAAACACAGACATCACAACACGTACCTTTACGTAGCTTCGAGGGGAGATGTCTCACCGTAGCTGTCAATCTGATCAAAAGACGTGTTCAATGGCATTAAAACGAGAAAGAAAAAAATGCGGCTGAATCGGTTAATCCATAGGTTTTTAACGTCTCTGTATAAAAAAATGATTTAATTTATAATCCATAATTCCATTTTTATGTAAATATCGCAGAGCAAAAGTTAGCTGCTAATGGTAGCCACCAGAGTGGCTGCTGCTTCCGGTCTTGGCTATGCGGAAGTCTCTCACACACACATTACCAAATAAGGACTGTGTGATTTCCCCTCGATTCCATTGGCTCTGACGGTCAGAAAGAGATGTCACATGTCAAAATCCAGCAAGGTGGGCCAGAGATATGGAAAATCCACCCAAATGGCCCCAAAAGAGGGTTTTTTGTGCTAAATCTGTCTAAAAAGGTCAAATATCAGGGGAAGTTCTACACACACCAACACATGAACAAATAAGGAGTGAGAGTGACGCGTAGCCAAAACCGGAAGCTGCATACCACCAAGGTGGCTACCATTAGCAGCTAACTTTTGTGATCCGATTTTTACATAAAAATGGAATTATGGATTATAAACAATTGCTTCAAAGCCACAGATACATTATCAACCTATGGATCAACCGATTCAGCCGCGTTTTTTCTTTCTCGTTTTAATGCCATTGAACACGTCTTTTGATCAGATTGACAGCTACGGTGAGACGATCTCCCGTAAAAGCTCCGTAAAAGGTACGTGTTGTGATGTCTGTGTTTGCTTCCCCTGTTGCGAGATCGGATCGCTTAGATACTATACTTAAATAATCTGTGGAGTCTCAGCTTTCATCGGATATATTGTATGTGCAGTTTCGATAAGTAATAAGGGTATCTTTATTTTGAATTTTGTGCTAAAGTGCGTTAGCATTTTTTTTTTTAAATGAATAAAACCGCACGTCCCTGCGGTGTGAATACCGCGCATGCGCATACCGCGGTTATCGCCATGACACGGTATATCGTTCAGCCCTAGTCTCCGGTACTTCCAGTCCAACGCCTACTGCATGCACAGCGTTAGAAAATCGGGCCTTCAAAATAAAAGTTGGACTTTTCCCCCCCCCAAAAAAAAAAAAAAAATGTATATATATTTTTTTTCAATTTATTTTTTTCTTCACTCACACATCTGCGACCCACTTGAAACGGGTCCGCGACCCACCAGTTGAGAACCACTGACCTAGGATACACTGATGTATCCTCCGGAGATGTATTTCAGGCAACAGTGATGTTTAAAAGAGGCGTGACGCACCGCCGGTCTGATCTCAACGAAGCACCGCTCTGCAAACTGTTCCCGTTGTGATTATAAGTTATTTTAAGATGATCAAATGTGAACCAAACGTTCTGCACTTTACCGTTTGTTTACTCACTAATTACATCTCCCCTGGATGTTAGGCTACTTTTTTTGATTTTATTAACTGCATGTTTGCAGTGAGAGCAGCTGCTGAGGTCCGTGCAGAAAGCAGAGCAGTGTGTATAATATATATCACTCATAATATATAACAGGCCTAAATTAGGCTCATTTGAAGGCTTTAGTAAATATCTACAAATAAACAGTAGATATTTGAATGAGTAGAAGCAGGAGGGCAGAAAGTGTATACAGAGGTCGCCCTCCTGTTAGTCATCCAGTTGCAGGATAAAGAAAAAAAAGATAATTCTGTAATTAAATACTTACACAGATGAACACAATCCTATATATATATATATATATATATATATATATATATATATATATACACACACACACACATATACATACACCCATTTCCAGGGTGAAAATAAAAGAATAAAGTCAAACAAATGTTTAAATAAATTCCTACAAGTCCATGTTCAGATAACAAGACAGTTTCATATCTCATTCTATTTTTATATGAACTATGATATTTAAAGGTGGGGTAGGTAAGTTTGAGAAACGGGCTCGAGATACACTTTTTGTTATATTCCATGGAATGCTCTTAACATCCCGATAGCAATGAATATCTAAAGAGCTTTGACAAAAAATCCATTAAAAAAAGTCACCTCTGGAAGCCGTGGCGCTGTAAAAAGCACGACCAATCATCTGAGCCGGCTAAAGTAACTGGATGGCCTACCTGCCTGTCAGCCTTCCATCTGGGCACAAACTTATCTCGTGCCCTCATTGGTCATGTGCGCGTTCGTGTGTGTTGGAGGAGGGGCTCTGTGAGGAAGTGGCAGATTTTTTCCGGCCGTGTATTTTCAAATTCTAGCTGGTTTCTCCAAAATTACCTACCCCACCTTTAAGATATACTTTAAAACTGCTTTAAGGACCTCTTTACAAACAACACTACTCTGGATCCTGTTGTCTTAGTCCTGCTGAGCACAATAGAGCAGTGAGGGATTGAATCCTAAAACCCGGAAATTAGTTATTGTTTTACAATTTCCGGTTCCCTCGAATCGAACACAGCTTTTTTTTGGGAGGGTTAGAAGTATCAATTAATGTCTGTGCTTAACACAAGCTGAAAAGATTTTAAGGTTTTGTTCTACGACAAAAAGTACGTCAGTAAATACCAACATAGCCACATTAAGCTTAGCGGTGGTGACGTGAAGTCATGTGACCTTGCTGTAGTTCCTTTATAGCCCAACATTAGCCTCCTTTAGCTTAGCGTGGTGACATGAAGTCATGTGACCGTGCTGTAGTTCCTTTATAGCCCGACATTAGCCACCTTTAGCTTAGCGGTGGTGACGGGAAGTCATGTGACCGTGCTGTAGTTCCTTTATAGCCCAACATTAGCCAGCCACCTTTAGCTTAGCGGTGGTGACGTGAAGTCATGTGACCGTGATGTAGTTCCTTTATAGCCCAACATTAGCCACCTTTAGCTTAGCGGTGGTGACGTGAAGTCATGTGACCGTGCTGTAGTTCCTTTATAGCCCGACATTAGCATCCTTTAGCTTAGCGGTGGTGACGTGAAGTCATGTGACCGTGCTGTAGTTCCTTTATAGCCCAACATTAGCATCCTTTAGCTTAGCGGTGGTGACGTGAAGTCATGTGACCGTGCTGTAGTTCCTTTATAGCCCAACATTAGCAACCTTTAGCTTAGCGGTGGTGACGTGAAGTCATGTGACCGTGCTGTAGTTCTTTTATAGCCCAACATTAGCATCCTTTAGCTTAGCGGTGGTGACGTGAAGTCATGTGACCGTGCTGTAGTTCCTTTATAGCCCAACATTAGCATCCTTTAGCTTAGCGGTGGTGACGTGAAGTCATGTGACCGTGCTGTAGTTCCTTTATAGCCCAACATTAGCATCCTTTAGCTTAGCGGTGGTGACGTGAAGTCATGTGACCGTGCTGTAGTTCCTTTATAACCCAACATTAGCCACCTTTAGCTTAGCGGTGGTGACGTGAAGTCATGTGACCGTGCTGTAGTTCCTTTATAAGCCAACATTAGCCTCCTTTAGCTTAGCGGTGATGACGTGAAGTCATGTGACCATGCTGTAGTTCCTTTATAGCCCAACATTAGCCTCCTTTAGCTTAGCGGTGGTGACGTGAAGTCATGTGACCGTGCTGTAGTTCCTTTATAAGCCAACATTAGCCACCTTTAGCTTTTTTTTACTTTAAAAATCCTAAAGTTGTGTTAATATGTGGAGAAGTTTCATAAACGTTTGTTTGACATTTCTACTTAAACAGTATTATAGGTTAAGATACCCAGCAGTATTTTAAGTAATTAAACCATGCCCCGACATTAAAGCTGCAACATAATGCAGTCATTAAACTATGATTGTGAAATGAGCCATTCTGCATAATGAGTACTTTCACTTGTTGATATTTTGAGGATAATACTTCTGTGTCATTACTACTTTCACATAGGTAACAGGAATAAATACTGGAAAAGAGCATTTATATAAAAAGGTAAGTACAGAGAAAATAATTACATTAGCTCTCTGTAATTTAGGGCAACATCTGGTTTTCAGGTTTAGTTTGTTTTGAGTGCCGTTAAGAAGACAAAACAGCAATGACTAACCACAATGAATGATGATTACATGATGTGTTAATTATATTTAATATACCTGTCAAACTGACAGCCGACATGATTTACCTGTACCACAAACTTGGCAAACATCAATTCATGCTGCTGGAGTTTTCTTTATTTTCTACCTAGAATCTATTTTAAATGTTCATTTGTGGGAGCTTGTTAATATAAAACAAAACGTGCATTGTTTGCAGAGGTGAAAGAAGTACTCAGATATTGTACTTGAGTAAAAGTAGAAGTACTCAGATATTGTACTTGAGTAAAAGTACCAGAGTGTAGGAATACTCTGTTACAGTAAAAGTCCTGCATTCAAAATGTTCCTCAAGTGAAAGTAGAAAAGTATTCTCATCAAAATATAGTTAAAGTACCGACAGTAAAAGTAGTCGTTGTGCAGATTGGTCCATTTCAGAATAATATATATGATATGTTTTATAATGATTGATCATGAAAGTGTTCTCAAAGCTGGTAAAGGTGCAGCTAGTTTGAATGACTTTGTATACTGCAGGGTAGCTGGTGGATTTACTCCAGGTGGAACTAAAGTCTGATTTAACACTTGATTCGATTTCACATTATTCATCCACATCTGTGAAGGGTATTGAATACATGTAATGGAGTAAAAGTACAATATCTACCTCTGAACTGTATGGGAGTAGAAGTACAAAGTAGCAAAACATTGAGATACTCAAGTAAAGCACTAGTACTTCATAAATGTACTTAAGTACAGTACTTGAGTACAAGTACTTAGTTACTTTCCACCTCTGCCTTCAGGGCAGCTAAACCAGGTTTAGCCCTCTTTAATCCGGCCAAGATATCTCGTCACAGCTGCAACCGGCTCCGTTAGCCAAATCAGCTGCGTGACATTCACCATAACTGCCTTATTGTTCATCTTTAAGCTATTTTAAACTGGTTAAAAGGGTAAATAAAGATGGCCATACTTAGGTTTTATCACCTAAAGCCAGCAGTGTCGGCCTGCTAACGTGAGCTAACAGAACTAGCAGGTGAAGCTAGCTGAGTACCCAACGGTACCAACCGCCGACCGTTGCACAGCACGCGCAGACAGACGTGACTCAGAGCACGAGCTGATAGATGTGAGTCAAAGCACACACTGACACCGAACTCCATCACCTGTATTTACCTGTACTGCGGACCGGCACCATGTGTGAAGCCGAAGTAATTGCTTGCAGCCATCTTGGCATCTCCAGTACACTACAGTAACGGGCAGACAGGCAAAGACATAAGGAAGAGACTGACCGGCAAGATAGTTCCCCCCCCTCTCGTGCAGCCGTTGACGAGGACGCTCTGAAACAACGGAACTGCGTCAGTCTTTTTTTTAAATGTTATTATTATTTCGCATTGAACATATTTAGAACATACAAAAGCTCGGTGAGGATATCATCAAGTTATCAACATAAGTGCAAAGAAAAATCACAATAAGAAAAAAAACATAAATAATACATCCAATAGGAGCTAGGGGGGAAATAAAAACGCATTTAAGAGGCATTAAGCTTACTTACAATTAAAAAAAAATTGGAAATGTCATTGTAAATATTCTTTATAGACAGGTTACAAGATTGTATTTTTCTAAGGGACAGAAAAAAGGACTTAAAATCATTTATGAAACAGGGAAGGACGCTGATTTGTTGTACAGTTACCATTAATTTTAGGGAAATATCATATAATAATAATAATACATTTGATTAATAAAGGCGCCTTTCAAGCGTCTCAAGGTCGCCGTACAAGTTACACAAAACACAAACAAAAGTCCGACAAACACGACAATCAATCAATAAATGAGAAAAGCAGAGAATGTGTGATGTGATCTGGGTGGATATACATGAATTCATACAAAGATATGGGCTGACTGACTCCATACTTTTTCATTTTTGTATTGTTATTGAATAATAATAAAAAATAAAAATAAACTGTGAGTGACTCGTTACAAGAAAAGTGACAGTGCAGATAAAGGCATACAAATAAAAAATGAAGACTAATAAGTACACATCCATGGTTAGAAGTAACAGCATTTAAAACGCTGATAGCATATAATGTATGTATTGCAAATACCAGTGATTAATGCTGAGTGAAGTAGCAGAATGCAAAAGAGTGTAAATTGCACATATCAGGGTTACTGCACAGGATTGTAATATTCTGTATTGTGTGGTGGTCTACCAGGGCCCGTGGTGGTTGTACAGTCTTCATATAAAGTCACGTTGTCATTTGGATTGCCTATAATGTGATTGTATTGTCTTTTTCAATCTTCACACGTTTTAATGTGTGATTAATGCTGTGTCCTTGTGATAAATGTTGTTTATTTGACTTTGTATCTTGTTGTTTTACCTCTGTAAAGCGTTTTTGAGCAGCTGATAAAGCGCTTGATAACTATTATTATTATTATTATTATTATTATTACACACAACATCTAACAGGCAGACAGCAGAGAAGCCCCCGACACTGACCGTCAAGATGGTTCCCCCCTCTCCTGCTGCTGTTGGGGAGGACTCTCAATGCTACACCGGAACTGCGTCAGTCAAACATGTGTCTGTGAGTCAGATCAAAACAAAAATACTGCACAAAAAATGCAGTGTGAGTGAGTCTATCATTTCAGATTATTTACGGAGACATTTTAGCATGAATTAATTTCTCAATTTCTTGTGGGTATTCAACACAACTCTTCACGCATGAACACTTAAAATTAGAAGAAATAGCTCTGATAAGTAGTTTTTACTTAATAATTTTGCGTAAGAAAAAACATATTCATAGTACCTATAAGTGGAAATGCAGTACTGGATCAACCACCCACCACATTTTAGCCCCTTAAATGCCAGTTTGATTCCTTACCTAATACCAGGTTTTTCTTTTATGAAATTAAATTGTGTACTGTGGTGACCACCAGAGATGGGGTCGTTACTAAAAAAAAGTAATATATTACATATTACTTTAAAAAAAAGTAATATATTACACTACTTCGTTACTCTCTACATAAAGTAATTCGTTACTTTACTCGTTACTTTACTCGTTACTTTATACTCGCAGGGCCGGCCCGCCCCTACAGGCAGATCACGCAGACTGCGGCGCACCTACAGTGTGCGCGCCACAGTTTTGCCTCTGCGAGACTCCACTTGCACCCCCAATTACTATTGCATTAAGGAAGACATAACACAAGTCTTTCTTTGTATATGCTCTAAAATAGGCTACCAGTCTATTTTAGAGCATATACCACAACAAGCTAACAGTCTGTGAAACGTCAAGACATTAATTAATTAAACCAGTTCAAGACGCATTATTCTTATCATTCTTTATGAGCGCAGTAACGGTAAGGTATATAATTACTTATGTATTTAGTATTCCATAACTTAGTAACAGAGATGGTCAAACTAAAGTGGTAGAGACAGAATTCCTACAATGAATCGGGACATTGAACTGTTCACCCGTGAGAGGGCGATCAACAAAAGAGAGCGAGCGGCCCGTTGAGGGAGTTTACAGATGAAAAGACTCATCCATGTTTATGCAGCACTGCACGTGGAGATGTGGTCTCGCAAATCGCGCAGATTACATAGGCCTACATGTAAACCTGCGGCGGAAACCCCTCTAGTCTGTCAGTGAGTGGGATTATTTAATAAATTATAAAAGTAACGAAGTAACGCGTGTCGGGGCAATGTTAGTAACTGTAGTGTGATTACTAAATCATAAATCACAAGTAACGCGTTACACTACTCCGTTACCGGCAAAAGTAATATTATTACAGTAATGCGTTACACCCAACTCTGGTGACCACCTATTAATACACTGGGACATAATTCATACATGGAACTAAAGTTGGGGGTATTGTTCCCACACGGACATATTATGTGTTTACTATATATGTTGTGTGCTCTCCTGACTTCACTCTCTTCTTCCCGGACGGCAACCGGACAACATGACCTTTGCTGAGCAAATAAAGTACCCTTTTTGCACCTTCATTGCACCGCCTCTGACTCCCTATCTCTCGGCACTACACTGGTGACCCTGACAAAGTCTCGAGAAGTTTCCGGGACGGACCCGAACACGGCAAAAAGAACGCAAGTTTTTTCTCTCGAAATGCCGGGGATTTTTTGGAATCGTCCGTGGCTGCCACCGGCACGCGGACTGAGGCTCGGTGCGCGCCCCGCAAATGGCTGGGAACGTTGCTCGCCATTCCCGCATCGGCTTTCCAACCAACAGGGGGACGATGCACGACCTGCTGGGTCGACCAGCAAACCGATTGCTACCTCGTGGGCTTGTTTCTTCTGGGCAGAGTTCACCACAGACTTACGGAGCGTCCACACTACAGCTTCAAAAAAAGCTTGGAGCTGGGCGTGTCTGAAGCGGGATGTTATTCAAGCAACGCGACCAACAACCAATCAAATGAATCTCCCGCCCCCGACATACAAAGCAAAAACCTCCGGGGATTTTATGGGAGCAATATATATATAAACTCCCCAAACAGGCGAAAACCTACCAGTTTCACCCTCTGTCTCTGCCACCTCCCTCCATGCAGGGCTCGAGCTTAAGGATGTCCCGTCGTCCCGGGGCCGAACAAAATAGTGTCGGGGAGGATACAAAATAATTTTGGGACGAATTTGGGACGAGAGTTAAAATAAAAATACCCTGCTAACTCTACTACAAATGGCGATGAAAATGAAACCGACTGCACGTTTTGTGTAGCACATTAAACCTCCTTGTCAACATAAACACACACGCACAAAACATTTAGAAACCCGCGAAATACACACACATGTAGCTACAGCTGTGCCGCTGGCTGTGCCCGCGAATTCCTGGCCCGCAAATTCGCGGGTCTAGCTATGTACTGAGTGTGTTTATTTCGCGGGTTGAGTGATGTACAATGGCATCCCGCGGAGGAATTCTGAAATGTTTTACCGTTACATCACAAAAACGCACAGCAGAACCAGACCCTGGAGCGCCGGCCTCTTTATTTACTTACTCCTCTTCATCCCCTGCCTATGGGTAATAAGGCTGAGAAGAGAACCCTCCATCGTATTTAATCCTTAGCAATATGCTGCGTCTCTCCCCATGTAGGGATGGGTACCGAGCCCCGGTATTAAACTGGCCGGAATTATTAAAGACAGTGGTAACGTTAAGCTCCGACGTTATCGGACTTTTTATCGGTGCTGGAGACATTAAAAAATATATGTTATATGTATTATTGCTACATACACATTATATCGCAGTTTTAGTTTCACCAACTCCGTTTGTAATATGCAATAAGACTACAACATGCGTCTATGATGTATTTTCGAGCTTTCCAATCCAGACGAGATCTCTCTCCCGTCTGTGTGCGAGGGGGCGGGGCCGTTTGTAAAGGTCTCCTGACTGACAGACTGTCATCCTGGTTAGTGGTTACTCTGGGTTCTGTCTTCAGGACAGTGTTGGATTTTTTTGGTTAATTGGATGGGACTTGATTGGATTCAATATTAGAGTAATTTTCTCGTTTGTGTGTTTGTTTAAATATATTTGGCCTTTGTTTATGTGATTGAATGATTTACTCAAATAAAAAGGTTGATGAATTATCATCTAATGATTTGTATGATTTTTTATTTATGTTAAAGGTCACTTTGAATGATTTTAACTAATGATAATGTAGAAAAACTAACATTTTAAATTCGGGACGGTCCACATTAATTTCGGGCTTAGATTGTATTTCGGGACGGTTCCGGGAGGATGGGGAAAAAAGTTAGTCGAGAGCCCTGCCTCCATGCCTGGTTCCTCCGGTTTGTATCCCAGTAGGTGAAGAGGGTCTGGTCATACAAAACCGGGTGATTTGCTACGGCGATAATTAGTTTCTCCTCCATCTTTTTTTGAAATATAGAAATGAACGGCGGGATATCTCTCCCAGCTTAGACGCGGTTTGATTGGCTAGGGCTTGAGCTGTCAGATTTTCCGAAACGGGATTTGATTGGCTGGTGCTGGCTACTCCGGCGGAGACGGACCGCTATGCTACCCACAATTCAGTTCGGCGAAAAAAAAAGCCGCAACGTGACGTCACCCCATTCAAAGTGAATGGGCAGATTGAAGCTGTCGACGCTGTCGACGCTGTAGTGTGGACGGGCCGTTACACGTGGCTGGCAAATCAAACCTGGTCGCAGATTGCCTCTCCAGGGTCGTCATCGGGGCCGTCCAGTTGGGCCTGGATTATACCCGAATGGCGACGGACCAGGTCACGGACCCCGACGTACAGGCCCTGAAGGAGGACGGCTTGGGGCTGCGCTTGGAGGACCTGGTTTTTGGTGACGCAG